TTTTTGGGGTTACGTCACATCGACACAGTATAGGTCATATCCCGACGTTCCAGCTTTACTGGTAGAGGAAGACCTCAGGTGCCCTTCCGTGCATTATTTCAGGCACGAACGGGCACCTGAGTAGAACCACCGATGTTCCGTAAGCTAAGTAGGTTTGGTGAAGTAATGTAAAGTAATGCATAGTAATGTACCTTCATTACCTGAATTTTGCATTCCAGTACAATTGCAAGTAATGCAAATTGGCATGCAGTATCATTACATTGCATTACTCTCAAGAAAAGTTATGCATTCCTACTGCATTACCAGTATCATTACCCCAAGCCTGGTCTTGTGTACGTCGGTTTGCCGTGTTTGTAAGTGTTCTCTCCTTATTTTTTAATGTCTAACGTGTTCTATTTCTCTCTCATTTTTATCGCTATGAATTTTAATTTAGCACTGTTATGTGTACGAACGCTTATTCTATTTATCTATTTTCTCGGGATAACGTATTTTGTAGTCGCAAATATTTTCACACACACACACGCACGCACACATGCGCGCACGCACGCATGCACGTATGCACACACATGTACAGTGTAAGTATAAAAACGTTCATACAGTGCTAAATAGAAATAACTTGCACGTATAAATGCATTATCAATTTCCCCCTCAGCAATAAAACAAATATTTGTTTAAAGGGTCGCTTTTTAACAATGTCATTGAATTTTGACCACTAAACGCTTATATTATATCGCGTGTATTATAACGATGGTCAAGAAAATAAAGGGCCACTGGAGTTCTGGTGACGTACTTTTTTCCGATAATTATATCATGTATGTGTTCAATTTTATAACGTTTTACACTAAAAATGAGCGTATCAAAGGTGATATATTTACTTGTATTATTAGATAAAATCTATTTTGCAATATATAATTAAAAACGCTAATTTTAATTTACTTTCGGCCTTCTTCCGTGGCATTTATTATACATAAAAATATGTAGGCAATCAAATGGAACATAAATCTCTAAAAATTATTTCCAGTCCTGTGAAGTCAAACATCCTCAGTTGGGACCCTTTTTTAGGAGCTAAACATAGTTGCTTTTTATACAGATTTCAATGTGTGTCCTTGTCGAATAGCTTTATCAATCAAAGATTTTTCAATGTCTTTATGAAAATATGGACAGTTATGTACTGACAACATGGAAGCATAGTATATCTAGAATAATTATTTTACTGTAGAATTAATTTTATCGTGAAAATGGTCATCTTTTACCATTTGCAAACATCCCTACACTTACTTATTAGTACTAGCAGATAAGGTTGCCAATAATATCACGTTTGACGTATCAACTACATTATAAAGTTGTGCAAAATGTAATGCATATTTGAATACTGTTCTTGCTGGAAAAGACATTGCTAACAATAATATCTCTAATATTTCTTGTCAACTTCAGTTAAATTTTGGATGAATTGAAAGTTAGGAATGTTATCACTCTTCATCCGCCATTACGATTTACTTACATTTTGTTTACCTAAACATATAAAATGATTAATCGTCCTTAATTAAAAGAAGGTTAAAAAGATGTTACTTACAATTTCCTGTAATTCACAAGATCAACTGAGACGCTTAAAACGGCAAATTATGTAAAAGATAATACTTGTATAGAAATATATTCAAAATTGCATTGAAAACTGATATTTGGCGACTCTTAGGTTTCAGTTATAAGCGTTGAAACGCTTTCCATTATTGAATCATTTTGCACAATGAAAATGATAATTGAATAATCTGAAATACTGCATACAAGTTAATGGTGTAGACCTATAATAAAATGATACTCAAATTTAAACGCACGCACGCAGGTTGTTTAATTAACTTTTAGAAAACAGTAATTTTTTGGTTTTATTTTATTTTTGTTCCAGAAAATTATCGTGGAAATCATATTGTTAATAAATCACATTAGGTAACTTTACTAGCGTATTTTAAGAAGATTGGCTAAATGGGCGTGATTACATTCATCACTGCCCAGTCGGGGTTCAGAACTAGATTTTTTGTTACACATTGACTTATTTCTCATGAAGAATAGAACTGACCTTTAATTATCCTCCGTATACGAAGAGCATAACATATGTGCAAGTACAATGGCAATTAAACATGAATCATGGAGAGAAAAAACATTCCTAAACTTACATACAGTAGATCTGAATATGTAAATCAACCCAGGTTTCCAAAATGGCAATATGTTTACGCAGAAAGAGCATTTAATATGCCAGTTTAAATAATTCAAAATTCATATTTGGCGACCTTAATCGAAAGCGAAACTGAAGATCGCCATTTGTTTCGATAGCTGTACTGTTAAAATATAAAGGTCATGTCTAACTGTACAAATAAATTGTAACAAAAAAAAAACCCATATATCATTGCATATACATTAAGTCACTTGAACATTTGTACATATAATTTTCTGAATACATGTAGTAATCATTATACTTAAATAAGCGCCATCGTCAGAGTATTACATGTACATGTAATTATATCATAAAATTGTGTTTTATATGCGCTTCCGAATCACATCAACATGTAAGAAAGCTTGATATAAGAGCTTTGTCATTATTGGATGTCGCTGATTCAAGTAGATTTATATATTGAGTTTGAACATCTAATTGAACAAAACTGCCGACTTTTGTAATAATCGTATGCCAAAGTCCGTTGTTTATGTAACATGTGGCAAAGCCGATTCTGTGTATTGCAAAGTCTTCAATAAGGACAGCGTCTGGTGAACTGTTTCAAAAAAAGATATTTTCGCGATTGATTGGACAGCAAACAAAATAGCTCACATCATATAGTTAGTGTAACGAAGTTGGTAGAACGTCATAATACTGATAATGAGCATAATAATTTGCAAAAACTAAAGTTGGTGAATAAACATTAGGGAATGTTTCCCATATATGAAGACACTACTCATGGAGGTGAGCTAGCTTTTGAATTACAGGGTTTGTGTGCCGTACATTTCATATTGGTTATCATTTGTCGAGCAATGGTCCAGACAGTACAACATTTATCGCAGCACAGTAGATTTTCAGTGAGTTTCATGCCAAAAACAAATGACAGATCATTTTCGTCAATGTAGTTTTCCCTTTTTAAAACAGTTTTGTAAGATTTGTTTTTACTGGTATTTAAAATGAAACCATCCAGTGCTTATATAGATGTCTGTATATTGGTATGAACGTATATATTAAATTAACGGTAAGTATCTGACTTTATCGCCGTTAGCGAAATGAATAAGGCGCTTCACAAACACTTCTTTGGCTAGGTATTGTCCGGGTAAACTACACTATTGCTCAAACAGTTGTAGCTTTCTATAGTATATTGTTAATTCAATGAAGGACAGTTCAGCAAAATCATTGCGATTTTAGTATCAGTACTGATGTGGAGAGTATGAATGTGTATATTACAAAAATCTATGAGCTTTCTCCTACGTTATCATATCGTTTTAGAGTAAGTATTCCAAAGTTCGCATCCGTAAAGTGCCTTAGTATAACCACAGTCACAGGGCTCATAGAACTCGGGTGCACACCATAGTTTATAATATTCAGCTAAGTCCCTCCAAAATTAGTGCAGGCGCTCTTTGTAGATTGCAATGTAGATAAATCTTTGTCCAAGTAAGCCCCAAGATGATCATACGTAGGCGATTCTTTAGTAATATCTTTTTTTAACCTAAAACTTCTAAAGAATGACCGTTGAATGCTAGAATAGCATTTTTGAGCATTGCAGAAGAACTTCATTTGCATGATTAAAATTATTTCGTCCGTTACCGATTTTGTCGAACCACGTCGTCTGTAACTGTAGGTGAACACATATATAGTCCGTAAAAACAAAATACACTGTTGCTGTAAACACAACAACAAAAAGAAAACATTTGCTTGCATGTTACCTGTTTTTTTTTTTTTCATTCTAATACGAATAAGTCCACATTTATTGTTGTATAACCCTTGCTTGGAAATATAATATGTTATTCTATTTTATTCTAGTTACAGCACTTTGTGCTTCTACAGTACTGGCCTCGATGTCAATAGATAGAGGATATACAAGTTTTTTTCTTTAAATACATAATTTATTTTAATCGAGTGATATGAAAATAAATATTACATGAGTGGCAGCAGCCACGAGACGGAGTGAAATATGATAATTTTCATGCCACAAGATGAAATTAAATCATGTATTTGTAGAAAAACTTGAATTTTCTATTTATCATATACATTTGTCTCTTTTGACATCACAATTTGATAGACTTTTCTCAAAATTGTTGTATACTGGCAGAATTTAAAAGAAAGTAGTCCGGCAAGACATCAGTGAAAATACGGAAAATATGTTTCACTGCAGTGAAAAATAAATTTTTACAGTGAAAATACGGAAAATGAAATTAAGCATTTTATTTCATCAATATTTGTCAATAATTCATATATAAGTATATAGTAAATAGAGGATATTCAAGTTTCTTCTATAAATACATGATTTATTCTCATCGAATGGTATGAAAATAAATATTTCATGAGTGGCGGTAGCCACGAGTGAAATATGGTAATTTTCATCCCACAAGATGAAAATAAATCATGTATTTATAGAAAAAACTTGAATTTTCTGTTTATTATATACATTTTTCTCTTTTTTTTGCGATAAAATTTGAAAGACTTTCCCTTATATTTTGGGTACTGGCAGAATTAAAAAGAAAGTAGTCCGGCAAGACACCAGTGAAAATACGGAAAATATGTTTCACTGCAGTGAAAAATAAATTTTTACAGTGAAAATACGGAAAATGAAAATACGCATTTTATTTCATCAATATTTCTCAATATTTCATTTATAAGTATATCCCATATAATAAATAAATATTCAATCAAAATAAACAAAAATTTAATTTGCAATCTCCTCACAATGATAAGGGGAGATCACTGCACAGAAAAATTAGCGGCGTTCAATCTAAATATTACCGAATATTCTGTGATTCAAATTATCCAGAACCCCGGTCAAAGTCCCCGGATAACGTCCGATGTTCTCGTGATTCATCAGGTTGCTGTATCGATTCAGGAACACGACTACAATTCAAAATAGCTCCAGACATCAGGCAGGATGGCAGACCAAGTGGAAGCCGAGGGTCAGCCAGCTCAACCTGTCCAGTCTGTGGCAGATCCGGATAAATTTGTCACATATTTAGAACGGTGTGTGCCTGTTTTACTCGACGATTGTGATGGCACATCTGCATCTTTCAAGGCCGCGCTGTCAGATCGCAATAATGTCGAGCAGATAAAAAAGTTTCTAAGTGATCCACAAACACCAACGTTACTGGTACAACGCTCATCTACTAAAGGTATGTAATTCAAACACTTTCACAAAAAATAGTTGCCATTGGTTGTTTTAAATTATTTTCCCTGAAAATTATGGAAATGAATCATCATCTCGCAAGTTGGCAATGAGCCAAATTTTAAGAAGTCATCTTGATGGGGCTGCATTTTTACTTATATTGTATACTAAATAACTGGTGATGTTAAACACAACGGTAAGTTCATGGATCAATATTCCAAAAATTTATTCAGTCTCTGTTTTCTGGGTCTGTTTTCTGAATTATGCTTTCCATGAGTTGCAGGACCGCTAGGGAGGCACGGAAAAGAGTCAACTCGACCCTATACCAACTCGGCACGGGTCGACTCGGCACGGGTCAACTCGGCCCACTTTACAAAAATATATATAACGTATTAACTTTGCTTTGCATGTTGTTAAGGTAAATGAATAATAAGAAATATCTTATTATTATATAAATGATACATTGTACTTCTTCTGAAATAAAGTATATTTAGAAAAAAATGTTATTTATCTGTTTTACAGATTCGATAATATTAATATAGATCTAGATTCTAATAAAATGTGTTTGTAAAGTAATATTTAAAAAAAATGAAACAAAAACGTGTAGAAATACAGTGAGATACGCAATCGTTTATCTTTACTCGCAATTCTACTGATAAGAAAAGCCTGTCTGCTGCTAGTTCGAAACTGTCAATCCGTGTATTATAAATAATTACAATAATTACAATAAATAGTGTTAACACAAACCTAAATATTAATAATTGAAAAGTGGGCCGAGTTGACCCGTGCCGAGTTGGAATAGGGCCGAGCTGACTCGGGGGCCGAGTACGTTTTAGGGCCGAGCTGACCCGGATTCGGGAGGCACCACAGGAGCCTGAAATTATATCAAAAACAAAAAAATAACGATTTAAAAAAAAAATCCCATATACATACTATAAAAAACACAAGGAAGGCAACAACATTTCCCCACCCACCGCTACATTTACAAGGAATATTTATAAAAATGCCTGGGATTTACTTCCGAGCACTTTTAATCAATAAAGCACATTAAACTCTTTCAGAAACACTGATTACTCTTATCAACTATCCAACTATTACGCCAATTGAATGAATTTATCACTGCATTTCTCCCATCGTCGGTTCCATTGCCAGTTCTGTGCTAAATTCCGTCATACCGTCATTGACTGGTTTTTGTAGATCCCGAAATTCTATCAAAAACGAAAAAGAACGATTTAAATAAAAATCCCATATTATAAATACTATTATAAATATAGGATTTTTATTTAAATCGTTCTTATTTTTTTTTGTTTTGGAAAGAATTTCGGTATCTACAAAGACCGGTCAATAACGGTATGACGGAATTTAGCACAGAACTGGCAATGGAACCGACGATGGGAGAAATGCAGTGATAAATTCATTCAATTGGCGTAATAGTTGGATAGTTGATAAGAGTAATCAGTGTTTCTGAAAGATTTTAATGTGCTTTATTGATTAAAAGTGCTCGGAAGTAAATCCCAGGCGTTTTTATAAATATTCCTTGTAAATGTAGCGGTGGGTGGGGAAATGTTGTTGCCTTCCTTGTGTTTTTTATAGTATGTATATGGGATTTTTTTTTTAAATCGTTATTTTTTTGTTTTTAGCTCGACTTTTCTATGAAAAGAGGAGCTATCCTACTCGCCCCGGCGTCGGCGTTAGCGTTGGCGTCACACCTTGGTTAAGTTTTTCGTACCACCCCACTTTATTTCAGAAGTATTACAAGTATGGCTTTGAAACTTACCATACTTGTTCACCATCATAACCTCCATCTACAGACAAGAGTACATAACTCTGTCAAGGTTTTTGACAGAATTATGGCCCTTTTTTGACTTAGAAAGTGTATTGAGCTTGGTTAAGTTTTTTGTACCACCTCACTTTATTTCAAAACCATTGGAGGTATTGCTTTGAAACTGACCATACTTGTTTACCATCACGACCTTCATCAACAGACAAGAGGACATAACTCTGTCAAGGTTTTTGACAGAATTATGCCCCTTTTTGACTTAGAAAATACATTGAATATGGGTAAAATCCACTTATTGCCTTAACCCTTTGAGATATTGCTTTGAAACTTTTAATGCTATTTCACATCATTACCCCCATCTGTACGCAAGAGAAGGTAACTCTGTCAAGGATTTGTTTTAAAAATTAAGGCCTTTTATCGACTTAGAATCTTGGTTAAGTTTTTAGTACCAGTCCACTTTTTGACTGAACTGTTTGAGATATTAATTTGAAAGTTGGAATACTTGGTTACCATCATGGTCCCAAAACATGGGCAGGAGAAGGTAATTCTGTTAAGGATTTTATTTGAATTATGGCCCTTTTTGACTTAGAAACTCAGTTAAGATTTTCATTCTTGTCCACTTGTTGACTTAACCATTTGAGATATTACTTTGGAAGTTGGAGTTCTTATGTGCCATCATGAGACCTATCTGTAAGCAAGAGAAGATAACTCTGTGAAAATGTTTCTTGATTTGTACTTAGAAATTCCTAGTTAAAGTCTTGTGTGCCCTTAACTGTCAAAGTTTTGTTTTATAGGCAAGCACTAAAAAAGTCGAGCGCGCTGTCCTTCTGACAGCTCTTGTTGATATAATTTCAGGCTCCTGTGGAGGCACAAAGGACTGCTTAGCAGTCCTTAGCAGTGTTTAGTAGGACCGCTGTTGGGTTTTTCTCAACCACTGATGCTTGGGGGTCAGATTCTGCCTCCCAACATAAAATTCCCCTGTAAACACTTTATCGGAAATATTTTAACACGAATGGGACATCTGTTGGAACAATAAGACTTGTTTTCAAACAATTTGTACATATATGAAAAAATACCGTTTACCATTAAGTCTCAATAAAGTAAAGATTGCAAACTCCCAAATGTAAACGGTCCAACCAATAGTCAATACGCGACCAGAGCCTAGAATACATTTGTGCTCTTGTTTCCCTTCTTGAGCCCGGACACAACACTATAATTCTCTCATGACTTAAACTTGCCGGAAATGACGATAAAATGCTCGAGTAGTCGAAAGCAAGGGTTTCGCTTCAATCGCTTGTGGTTTTATCAAGTATTTCTAGAGAAATTGCCCAGGACATAGTGAAACCATTCCATAATGTTGTGTTATTAGTTCCTTGAGTGCTTGAAATTAAATCAACAAGTTTTACAGGAATAATGATAAACATCACTGTGAAGTTTCGCAAATGCGGTTTTGCATACATGTGGATTTTTTCAGCTTTGTTAGTGTTATTGCCCTTGACTAAGTATAAATTTGCAATTTTTAACTTGTTCATGCATAGCTCAAAAAGTATTTGACCTGTAGGCCTGAAAGGTTTACAAGAATGTTGGTCAGCACGTGTACTTTACTACTTATGCATTTTAGGGTTTGCTTGTGGATTTATTCAGTGTTTGTAAAATTTTTGCCCTTACTTAGTAAAAGAATTTTAGTTTACAACTTGTGGCACATGTAGCGTTGTGGCACATGTAGCCCAAAAAATATTTGACCTAGAGTCATAAGATTGACAAAACAGTGGAGTGTGGGGGCACCCGTGTCCTATGGACACATTTCTTGTTTGTTGTAATTTCATACAAGTGTCCCTTCAGTGATTTTCCTGCTTATATAATAGACTCTGATAAAAGGCCTCTTCCCAATTGAAATTTTCTTTAAAATCATGCAGTTTTCCCAAAAATCTGAACTTAAACCTGCTTTTTTACTTCCCAAATTAGCAATTTAAGTGAAAATTTTTCGCATAATCAAGTGGCTAAGTGAGGAAAAACACTGCCCTTTTTTTTAATTTCGTAACAGAACAGCTTTAATGGAGTATAGGATCAAAACACAATGATAGGAAAATGTGTATTTGGGTATGTTTAGTTATGTCTTAGGGTAAGTATATATTGTAAGGATTTTTGTGCCCCCACTTTCATATATGGCACAAAATCACATTTATTTTTCACCCCCACATGACAAGGGATACAGGGATACATGGGTTACACAAAGGTTACAGTGGGATACAGTGAATTTCCATTATGTAACAGATCTTTTTAAAATTAAATTTTGACTTTTTTGTTATTTATTTCACCTCAAGATTTATTTGAATTAAAAAAAAAAAGATCTAATTTTACTTATAATCGATAATCCATTAACATTACCACATCAAAGGGGCTTGTTAGCTGAGTAATTCTTAGTGGCGGGCACTTAGATTTACCCTTGTCTGTCCGTCCATCCGTCCGTCTGTTCTCTTTTGTGTCGCAAGTAACTCAAAAAGTATTTGACCTAGAGTCATGAAACTTTACAGGAATGTTGATCAGCAAGTGTAGTGCACCTGGGTATTTTCATCTGGATATTTTTAGTAGTTTTAGAGTTATTGCCCTTGACTAAGTAAAATTTTGCAATTTTCAACTTGTGTCCCATGTAACTCAAAAAGTATTTGACCTAGAATCATGAAACTTTACAGGAATGCTGATCAGCAAGTTTAGTTGTGCACCTGGGTATTTTCGTGGAATATTGATCAGCATATGTAGTTGTGCACTGGGTATTTATGTCTGGATTTATTTAGTATTTTTAGAGTTATTGCCCTTGACTTATTAAATTTTTGCAATTTTCAACTTGTGTCGCATGTAATTCAAAAAGGATTTGACCTAGAGTCATTAAACCTTATGGGAAGGTTGCTCAGCATATGTAGTTGTGCACCTGGGGTTTCGCTTGTGGATTTATTCAGTATTTGAAGAGTTATTTCCCTTGACTTAGTAAAAACCGTTTCATTATGTTGTTATTTGTTCCTTGAGTGCTTGAGTTAGAATCAACAAACTTCACGGGAATAATGATCAACATCACTAAATTACAGGAATAATGATTCACATCACTGTGACGCTATGCACCTGGGACTTTGCATGTGGATTTTTTTCAGTTTTGTTTAAGTTATTGCCCTTGACTTACAGTAGTATAAATTTGCAATTTTCAACTTGTTCATGCATAGCTCAAAAAGTATTTGACTTGTAGGCCTGAAAGTTAACAAGAATGGTGGTCAACATGTGTACTTATGCACCTTGGGGTTTGCTTGTGGATTTATTCAGTTTTTGTAAAGTTCTTGCCCTTTACTTAGTAAAAGATTTTTAGTTTTCAAAAAATATTTGACCTAGAGTCATAAGATTGACAGAACAGTGGCGCGGTGGGGGCACATTTCTAGTTTTTGGCTTATTTTATAGCCGATATTTGGTCAGATTCCCAATTGAAAATAGTAATTTATTTTCCCAATTCACAGGAAAAAAATCCCTATTGCAAATTACAAAATAAGAATATTAAATAATAAATTGTAAAATCTTTGAAAATAAGAGCTTCTTCACTGTTATGGTGTTTAAATTTTGAATATGCCATCCTAGACAGTGATTCTTTGGATTCATTTAATCACTGCAAACTTAGTCATGCATTTTTTCCTAAATTTTAACAAAACCTCACTGAAATTCCAAATAGGGTATGGGTCATGTTCCCAAAATCCTGGAAAAAAACCCTGTATTGTATTCAGAATTAAAACAGCTTTTTAATACAAATATTTATTTTTAGTAAATTTGGGCAATATTTGGGTATTTCATGCTGCCTCTCAAGGTCTTACCAAATGTGTGTTAGGGAAAAAAAGGACATTTTTTTATACATAAAAGTATCTATATTGTATCTGTCAAATTTCTGGGCCCCTGATAATTTAGCATGCAATTAGTTTTCAGAATCTTGATTTCTTTAGCAATTAGTTCTTTCACTCTCCAAATAGGTAAGGCCGTTGTAATTATAAACATTTATGTATTCATATCTTTACTGTACCACTGTGTATCAATGTGCAGGTTTAGTACATAGTTTCATGGCCAGTTATCAGTATTAAAAGTGATAATGATTTGCCCTAGTTAAATGATAATTTAATGTTCTAAATCATTATCAAAAAATAATTAGTTTAACTATATGAGCCGCATCACGACAAAACCAACATAATGGGTTTGCGACCAGCATGGATCCAGACCAGCCTGCGCATCTGTCAGGATGCATGCTGGTCGCTATCAGTTTCTCTACTTGTAATAGGGTTGGTAAGCTAACAGCATGGATCCTGATCAGACTGCGCAGGCTGGTCTGGATCCATGCTGGTTGCAAATTCATTATGTTGGTTTTGTCGTGACACGGCTCATATGTTTCATTTCAAAGACCCTGTCAGATTTGAAGAAAGTAAGCTGACACCTTTTTTGTAGAATGTTCAAGAATAGAATTATTGAGTATTTTCTTTTATACATTTACCAGATGAGTCTGAGGAAGTTGCAGACAGTGGGGAAGGAGACGGTGAGGCCGGAGTGTCATACATCATATCCTCAGATGTGCATTTCACAAGCTCCAAAATATTCAGGTTACATTTTTAAAAAATAATTCAAGTTGTCACACTTCTGAAAAATATTTTAATCCAAAAAATACTTTTCTAAAAGGGATAGTAAGTATCTCATATTATCGTTTGACTAAATGCTTTTTCGTGCTGTTTAAATGTATGTATGATTATCAATTACATATTTTTTAGCACTACTTACTGATTTACCAAGAGAAGAGTTACTGTAGTGTCGTTGTTAATTGCTATTTCAGTTTGGTATTTATCAAGAGAGGAGCTGTGGTTGAGGCAGATAAATCATTTCCCTCGCAGCTTCAAATTATGAATCTCAGCGATGGTTCCCCTTATGAAGCACTGCATTCCTACATCAGCCATGCTGTATCCCCTTACTTTAAGTCCTATATTAGAGAAACTGGCAAAGCTGAGAGGTAATGATTTACACTTGAAAATTTGTCTACTCAATAATGTTTTAACTTATTTCATTATCATTGTAATTTTTTTTTTACTGTCAAATAAATTGAGTGTTTATGATAAGTTTTGCCATGTACATGTATAAGTTTTAATGTGTATCTTTACTGTATGATATTATTTCTGTGATAGTTTGAAGTGTTTAAGATAATTATTACAGACAAGTCACAAGTGGCATCATTATTTCATTGCAATATGTTATTTATGATAAAGAAGAGTTTTGAATGTTTAGGGATGGTGACAAGATGGCTCCAGCAGTTGAGAAGAAGATTGTTGACCTTGAGATGGGACTTCTACATCTCCAGCAAAATATAGATATACCAGAGATCAGTTTACCTATACATGCTGTTGTGTCTTCTGTTATAAAAAAATGTGCTGAGGAAGGTAGGAAGCCTAAGGTTGAAGATTTTGGAGACAAAGTTGAGGATGCACAATTTTTAAATGCTTTACAAAGTGGTGTTAACAGATGGATTCGAGAAATACAGAAGGTAAAAATGTTATTTTTTGCTATTCTCAACTTTAACAACATTATTTCACAAGTTATTTTACTATTTTATGGACTTGTTTATATGATGATAACGGAGTATGATAAATTTGTAAACATGATAGAAAAAGTTGTGTAACTATCAATTATTGAATATAATGAAAATGCAGCATGTTTTTATTAATAGAGCACAAAAGCTGATATTATACATGTATAAATTCAGGTGACTAAGCTTGACAGGGATCCCTCATCAGGCACAGCTTTACAGGAGATCAGTTTCTGGTTAAACCTTGAGCGAGCTTTGTTGAGAATTCAGGAGAAAAGAGAGAGCCAAGAAATTGTCCTAACATTGGATATCTTAAAGCATGGCAAAAGATTCCATGCTACTGTCAGTTTTGATACAGATACAGGTATGATCAATTTTTAGCTTAAAAGTTATTTTGAATTTAACATTTAAAGACCATATTTGTCCTAGTCTTAAATTTGTCACTAATTTGAGATGTCAGTTGGTGGGCTAGAGTAGTTTAATTTTAGCTAGAGGGCTTTTTATTTGTTGTCAATTTTACTGCACATTTCTTTCCTATTTAGATATCAAAAATAGGGCCTTAGATGTATGTGTTTGGAAATTCAGATTTATGATTGTATCTATGGAATTTCAAGGTCATTTCTTTCATCTTTAAAAGCTGCAATTTTTCACAATTTTAACCTCCATAACCAAATAATGCTGTAGATTTGAGGCTAAAACCGGCATGATTTTACAAGCACTTTTTATATGTTACTGGTAAGTGTTGTTGTTTTTTTCAGGCCTGAAAGCTGCTATGACCACTGTGAATGACTATAATCAACTGATGAAGGATTTTCCATTAAATGACTTGCTGTCTGCCACAGAATTAGACCGTATACGTGTTGCTCTACAGGCAATCTTCCAACACCTTAGGAAGATCAGACCCACAAAATACCCCATACAGAGAGCCCTTAGATTGGTAGAGGCTATCTCCAGGGATCTTAGCACACAGCTATTAAAGGTAAAGTTCATTGAACGCCACCTTTCCTTGTTGATCTTGCTTATCATATTTGATAAAAGATTGCTGTCAAGACTTGAACTTTCTTTAACAACAATAAGATGGTATCCTTCAGATAAATTTTTATAGCATGATATTTGAAAGTGAACATAGATTAGTAGATTAAATCAGTGTGAACCGTCGTCTTTACTGCATGCTTTTTCAGGTTGTACTAAGTGACAAGTATGAACTCTTATACAGTTTCATAAAGACTGTGAATCAGGAGAATATGTTGTAGGAATATTAGTTTTAAAAACTGTTCATGCATGGTTTCTGATTTCAGAGACACAATTCTAAATCTAAGAAAGTTTATTTTATTTTAAATATAAATTTTAAAAAAGTAATGAAAAGTCTTTTATCATGTTAGTTACATTTACCAACATTGCGAAATATCAAAATCTGAATGTATGACTTTAAATTTGTTGTTTACTTGCAAGGAACATGGTCACATATTGTTTAATTTGTTCAGGTACTTGGTACAAGACGTTTGATGCATATACCATATGATGAGTTTGAGAAAGTGATGTCAGCATGTTTTGATGTATTTTCTACCTGGGATGACGAGTATGATAAGTTACAAGGTTTACTGAGAGATATCGTCAAGAAAAAGAGAGAGGAACACTTACGTATGGTCTGGCGTGTAAATCCTGCACATAAACGCTTGCAGGGGCGTCTTGATCACATGAGGAAGTTAGTACAAAATATTACATTTTTGTAGCACTGCAACAGATTTCAATTATTTGTTTAAGTCTACATGTCTTTGTTTAAATTTTGAATGAAGTTAAGTTTTGAACCCATTTGTAAAACATGTGCAGTCCTATATTGATATATTTAAATAAGTAAGCTAGTAATTTATTTTTTTAAATCTTGAGAAAAATGACCAGGTAAGTGGCATGATCATTGTTAGTTATTGATGTATCATTGATAATTCTGTTAATGAGTTAATCATGAAAATTAAAACAATATCCTATGTCTTTCTGTTGAATATTTATGTTGTGAAGAGACTTATAAAAATATATTAAATCTTGTGATTAACTGTGATTGATTGTTTTCCCAGATTCCGTCGCCAGCACGAGCAGCTTCGACAAGTGATTGTAAGAGTATTAAGACCTGTGACCAGTAAACAGAAGCCTGGTACACCTCTAGAGGAGATCGCACCAAAGCTTGAACCTGTTGTAGATGAGGCAGCTGATGCTAATGCTATTGAGGTAAATATCTGACTATTTCAATTTGATAGGTTGTACAATAACAACAACTGTATGTAGAAATCATTTCACTATATATATATTTTCTTTAATTGTAAAATTAACTTCTTTTGCAATAGTGATTTTTTTTCAAATCTGTATTTTTATATGATTTATTTTTCCATACTGTTTATCTGCAATAATAAGAGGATATTTTTTCGTTTGCGTGAAATATGGAATATATTTTCACGAAACATGATAAAATGCCACATATTTTCACGAGCCGGTACGGCGAGTGAAAATATGTGGCATTTTATCATGTTGAGTGAAAATATATACCATATTTCACAAAAAACGAAAAAATAACCTTTTTATTTAATTTCGTTATCAAAGAAAATGGTAACGAATCCCCTTGCTTGCTACCAACTGCAATTGTACAGCGCGCAGTAATTTATGCGTAAGCACGCGCTGTTTGGCGCTACATTGTGACGTCATGTAAACAACTCTTTAAACGTCTGTACAGCGTTAATTACTGAATTAAAGATATTGGTGTTCGGATTAATTTTCTTAGTTAGGCCATTTTCTATCATGCTAGATAGTTTTCAAAACAATATTCAAGAAAAAGTTGTTTTGTATTTATCAGATTTTTCAAACAAAACGGCGAAAGAAGTCCCTTAAAATAAATATGAGTTTTGACTCCGCCCACTTTCATATTTATATTTCATATTTATTTTTAAAAAATATGAAATATATTTGACTGATATAGCACCATATTTCATGGGTAAAATTAAATAAGTTAAGTGTATCCAAAATAAACTAATCCAAATTTTTTGTTATTGGCAAAAAACAATTTAATTTAATGATGATAAGAGGCCCCTGAGGTCTACCATCACCAGTAAAGCTGGTAAGTCACCATATGACCTCTACCAGTTAGAAAACTCAAAAAAGATCATGTTTAAAACATTTAAATTTCTATATCAACAGGAGGTAAACCTAGCATATGAGAATGTGAAGGTTGTAGACGGTCTGGATGTTTCCAAGGAAGGATCTGATGCTTGGGAAGCTGCCATCAAAAGGTATGGTTACATTAATCTCCTTTATGCATACTTGTTTCACTTGTTTTTTTATGTGGAAAGAAACCTTAAATTCACTATGCCACTGTTAATGTGTTTTTAAGCTGAATTTAGTATATGAAGAGTGTTTGTAAATTCTTGCCCTCATTCTCAAGTTACTTTTTAGTATCTGTTAATCAAGTGTAACTTTACAAGGATATGAACGCATTAATTATATTTTGTAAACAGTTAATGGTTGTTTGCATTGAGTTTATTAACAGGTTATGTTAATAAACAGTTCATTTTAGTTCATAAAAAGTTGTTTTAATAGTCTATACACATTTTAAGGTTGTTAACATAGATTTTATAAACAGTTAATGGTTATTTACACATAGTTTATGAGCAGTTTATGGATGTGTACATAGTATGTATTAATAGTTTATGGTTGTAACTTGTTTACATAATGTATTAAAAGTTCATGGTTGTTTACATAGAATGTATTAAAAGTTTATTAACAAAAATTTATGGATGTATATATAGAATGTACTAATAGTTTATGGTTGTTTATATAGCATGTATTAATATTTAATTGTTGTTGACATAGAGTTTATAAACAGTATGTTAACTTATATTTACTAGGTATGATGAGAGGATAGATCGAGTAGAGACAAGAATTACAGCACGACTACGTGACCAGCTAGGTACAGCCAAGAATGCCAATGAAATGTTTAGAATCTTCTCACGTTTCAACGCTCTGTTTGTACGACCACATATTCGTGGAGCTATACGTGAATATCAGACACAGCTCATGCAGAGGGTGAAAGATGATATCGAGTCTCTACATGAGAAGTTCAAGGTACCATATAACAATTAAATGTATTTAAATCAATAAGGGATTAAAATTTTGTTATTCATTTATTATTATTGGTTCTTTAGAAGAGTATTTTTGTATGTAAACTCGATAATTTTCAGCGACATCATTTCAATTTTATCTATTGTTGTGATTATGTAGAAATGGTGTTAATGATACAGGTAATATAACATTAACTAATTTTGGCTTACGTAAATTAATATAAAAATGGGATTTAGTATTTTATAGAAAAGAACAAATGCATTGATTTCATAAGTTTTTCGACACATTTGACAAATTTAAAGCAATGATGTGATTTTGACATATTTTATTACCCAGGTTCAATATCCACAAAGTAAGACATGTAGAATGAGCAAGGCTAGAGATTTCCCCTCAGTATCTGGTAGTATCATCTTTGCTAGACAGGTATGACTCTTTGTTATTCCCTTACAATGATCTTCTTTTAAACCATTGTAATCAACAGACGCAGTTAGGATGTACTTATGTTATGCAGCAAATTGAAAAATTATCTGCTGAACTAATGTTGTAATAAACTGGTATTAAAAATGTGTAATATAAATAAGAAACAGGAAATAAGAACAGAAATTCAAGTCAGGTTTACACATGTATTTAGTTTACAAGTTAGCTTCATAGATGAGTTTGTTACAATACAAGTTATGTTATCAGCATATTTTGAATTGAATGTTTGTATATTATAGATTGAGCGACAATTGACTGCGTATCTGAGGCGTGTAGAAGATGTTCTTGGAAAAGGATGGGAAAATCATGTTGAAGGTCAGAAATTGAAGGCCGATGGTGATAGCTTCAGAAATAAACTTAACACCCAGGAACTGTTTGAAGATTGGTCTAGAAAAGTTAGTATGGCATTTTGTTTTTCAGTAATATATTTACAGTTAATATGCCGTTCAAAGAGGAATAATTGTTTTAAAGTAAGATAGTCTTTTAATGTATAACATACAATGTTTGCAGCTTCATTTGATTCTAGAATGTTATCAGATTAGAAGTATATTGAAGTCAAACACTCTCACTAACTATATATTATGTATATAGGTGACTCAGAGACAGCTGCAGGTGTCTGGTAGAATTTTCACAATAACCAGCATCAAGTCAAGGATTCCTGGTAAAGGAAATGTTCTCAAACTGGGTGTTAACTTTCAGAAAGACATTATTACTCTCTCTAAGGAGGTAAGTTATGGTAGATTTATGTAAATTACTGAGTATCTGTGGCTGTCATGATGCATATATATAAATGAAAGGCTATACATGTCTATTGTGAGAGTAGGCTCAATGATACAGCATCTGTTTGTTGTTGGGCATGAACAATGGTTAATTCATTTGAAAGTACATGACTTTTTCTCATTAGAAATGGATGGATCATTATCCAACTCTGTTTATAGCATCTTACCAAATGTAACAGAATTAAACATTAAAATATTTGCTGTCTAAGTACTTAAAATTAATTGGAAAAACTGCTGAGAATGGAATAAAACTTATAAAGTAAGGTATGAATTGAATGACATTTTTAACTTGTTAAATATAATTACAGGTGAGAAACATGAAATGGCTGGGTTTTCGTGTTCCACTATCTATAGTGAACAAGGCTCATCAAGCGAACCAACTTTACCCATTTGCCATGTCTCTGTTTGAGAGTGTTCGCACTTATCAACAGACCCTAGAAAAAGTTGATGAACGTCCATCAATACATTTACTTGTAGCAGGACTTCACAAGGAGGTCCAGAAACTTATTGAAGAGGTTTGTTAAAACACTTTCTTTTATCATGTATGTCTGTAATACATAACAAGGAAAGAAAAACAGAAAAATGTGCTGTTTGATTTATGTGTTTATTTCAAGTGATAGTAAAATCCTAAAATTTGTCATGTATTTAATCTAAACATTTGCTATTGAAGAATGTGTGTTTATAACTTACATTTATTCATACACATTGTATTAATATGAAAATGCTATTTCATACACAACTGTATTAATATGAAAAGCTATCAATATTATGTATACATGTTACAGGGAGTACAGCTTGTGTGGGAATCCTACAAACTAGACCCATATGTACAAAAACTTGCTGACACATTGGTCAATTTCCAAGAAAAAGTAAGATATTTTTACTGCAACATTTAGTTAAACAATTTTGCATCAAAACTCAAAGGAAAGAAGCTGGAGGAAAATTATAATAGCGTTATATAATGTTTAATCAATGAAATAGAAATTTTGGAATATAGAGAGTATTCTTTCTTTGCCAGTTTTAATAAATTTCTGTTACCTTGGTTAAAATTATACCCTTTAAAATGTAAAGGTATAAATTATAAATGAGGCTGAGTTCGTTCAATAACTTTCAATTGAAATGTCCATTAGTTTATGATCTCAGTATATTATAAGCTACAAGTATTTAACCCATCACTTGATATAAATGTAATAAGTTTTTGATGATAATACAGGTGGATGATTTGTTAGCTATGGAACAGGAGATAGATCTGGAAGTAAAGTCACTAGAGACTTGTGCATACAGTAGTACAACATTCAGTGAGATACTGGGCAAGATACAGAAAGCTGTAGACAATCTTAGTCTACATTCCTACTCTAACCTACCACAGTGGGTAGCCAGGCTCGATGATGAGGTTTGTGGATATTATGTTATTTATTTTGTTTACAAACTGTTACACCTTTTGTCTTGACTTTGGTATGAAAAATGTATGGAGACAGATTAATGGAAGTATATGAACTTAACATTTATATAGGCATAGTCTAATGCAAGCAATTGCAGATGCTGAATGTCAGTATTTCATTTATGTTACATTTTATATAATAGATTTGTATATGAATATAATTATTTTGCCGTATTTAACAGGTGGAGAAGAGACTTGCAGGACGTCTAGAGATAGCATTGGATGCCTGGAACAAATGTTTACTGGGTAAGAAAGAAGATCATGTTGACTACAGTATGGATACTGATACACCACAATCAGCTAGCATGAAACTTGGAGGAGAACCAAACATCAAGGTAAACTAATCATAAACACATTTTAATAAAGGAATCAAATTTTTTACATTTTAAGTGAGTGTATTTTTCAAAGAGATGTTAGAGGTTTGAGTTAAGAAAAGTGATTGTTGCTTCTTATGTGAAAGTTTTTTTCCTCTCTAGCTTAAAATGATTTATTTGATAAATTTGTAACCAATTGTTTAATAAATTGTCTCGTACCGTTTAACATAGAGAACTGTTTGTATCAAGAAATACTTTTTCTACTGATATTTCAGTGTTTCATGAGACAGTATAGATGTTCTATTTTGTTTTCAGCCAATGATTCATGAGTTGCGTATAACAAATCAACTGATCTATGTTAACCCACCAGTTGAAGAGGCTCGAGTCAACATCATGCAGGAACTGTTTGGCTGGGAAGCCATTGTCACCAGTCTCCCTAAAATAAAGCACTCTAGATACCAGGTAAGTGCATTCTTCCAAGTTGGAATGTTAATGACTCAGAAATTATGAGATTTACATTGGTTTGTAATAAGGCTAATTTGAGGCGCATTCATTCATTTCCTTATTTTTTAAAATCTAGGGACAGTAATGTCAGTAAAAGCGGAGTGCATGCAGTGGATGCTGGTAGCTCCATGATAGTATTGACAGTCAACAATAATATTTCCATAGCAATAGGATAGATAGGACACTGTGAAAGTCAAGTGGCAACACAATGATGTTATGAGGGCCTCGTGATATTTCCCATTTTCATAAACATAACTTTTTGCAGTTTCATGGCAGTCTAAAAATCTGAAGAAATACCATGCCAGTGCAGAGGAAACTCATTATAGTGTGACAAGTTCATTACCAAATATAATTTTACAACAGACTGTAAAAATTGTATTTTTGTTCCAGGTTGGTTTGGATGTAGAATCTGAGGCAGCTGCCACCTACAAGAATGTTCTAACAAAGTTGCCTGGTGGAATGAAAGTCATTGAAGAATCTTACTATGCTATACAGAAAACTGTTAAAGAAATGGAGAACTATATCATGGTAACACTCATTCCTTTATGTCATAACATATTTACATATTTAGTCTTTGATGAATTCATAAGCTTCTTATTTTTTCAATTTTATGCAATAGTTGATGTAGCAGCATTGACAGTGCCTATTTATTTTAAGGTTCCTTGAAGTTTCAGAAGCTTTTCTATGATGGTTATATCATAATTATAGTAATTGAAGATCTATTTTGTATCCCACAAACCCTCTTCTTAATAACAAAAAAGCTTGGATTACTGTTTCACTGAATTTATGTGTAAAAATGTCATTCTGTATCCGTTTGTAATTTGTATAATGAAGATACATGTACTTTTAAATTTTTGCTTTTTGAGAGGTCACAAATACAAAGGTACACAATGTTAAATAAATGGCCATTTATTTTATGATTACAACTTTAGTTACATATGTTAATGTATATGACCTGTACACTGTAGGTATGGTTGAGGTACCAGGCATTGTGGGATCTTACACCAGATGGTCTTTATCAGAGGATGGGAGATCTACCTACATGGATGACAACACTGGAACAGATCAAGTAAGTGCAATGGTTGCTTCTTTATGTAATAATAATAATAATAATAATAATAATAATAATAATAATATTTTTATTTAAAGAAAGTAACACATTAAGAAAATGCAACAGCAATCATATACATGTATATGATGTAGGTTCATACCTAGTGTAATATGATATGGGGGGGATGTTTTCTGCCAGTTATATTCATACTCTAACCAAGGAAAATAGTAATAGTATTGGAAAATAATAGCATTACTTTTGAAATATGACTTAATTGAATTAACTTCCTTGTAGGTTTGAATGAGTTGATTGTTCTTAAAAGATTTAATAGAACAAGATTTTCAAATACTTTATTTATCATTAGGTCTGCAAGAAAGACTTTTGACACTTCTGAGACCCAGAAAGAGATTGGTCCAATTATTGTACAGTTTGGTAAAGTCCAGTCCAAGGTGACACTGAAATATGACTCCTGGCACAAGGATGTACTGAGCAGGTTTGGTGGCATGTTGAGCAATGAGATGACCGAGTTCCACTCTCACATACAGAAGTCACGATCCGAGCTGGAACAACAGTCTATAGACACTGCTAACACATCAGAAGCTGTTGGTCTAATCACACAAGTACAAGCATTGAAACGCAAGATGAAAAACTGGGAGAAACAAGTTGATGTTAGTATTTGGTTTCTTCCTTTCATTAAACCTATCAGAGTATTTTGCAGGATTTCTACAGAACTGTTGTAATTGATACAAAATGAAACCATTATGTACTTGTCCCATGATCTTAACTACAATGGAGGAATATACTGTAGATATATTATACGGACAAGTTCAGAAATGCTTAAAGATATAAATGGATAAATAAGTAAAATCAGATTTTGTCGGCCCTGAAAATGTTTAAAAAATTTACTTTGTTACCTGAGAATATAAGATGGTGTATTTTTCTGTGATTATATCATACTGAGCCATTTATTATTTTTACATATAGATGTATAAAGAAGGTCAGCGTATCTTAGAGAGACAAAGATTTCAGTTCCCCACTAACTGGTTATACAGTGACAATATTGAGGGAGAATGGGGAGCTTTCACTGACATAATGAAACGTAAGGATGGTTCTATACAGACCCAGGTAGCCAGTCTACAGATGAAGATTGTCTCCGAGGACAAGATTGTCGAGGGCAAAACATCGGATCTCCTTGTAGACTGGGAGAAAGATAAACCTGTTGCTGTAAGATTTCTGTTCAGAATGTTTTAATAAGTAATAATTCTGTTTAAAGATTCTGTAAATTGTCTACTTTCCTTTTAATTTTTTCCTAAAGGAATCTAGACCTGAATGAAATTTTTTATAATTGGTATGTACTTAATTATATTGAAAACAAAAATTATAGTGAAATGCTTGTTAAGTTATTAAAGAAGTGATATTTGTACATAAGAAGAATATCAGCTGGCATGAATATACATTTTACAATGATTCCCCTTTTCTGAACACCATTAGTTATTCAGTCTTAAGTAGATACTGAAAATATGTATACAAATAGTATTGCATTACCTTTTTAAATGTGTATAATGGTCATATCCAAATAATTTACATGTTATAACTTAATGAATACAGGGTGAGCTTCCACCAGATGAGGCATTAAAGGCTATAACAATATTTGAAGGCAAATTTACCAGACTAAAGGAAGAAAGAGATAATGTTGCTAAGGCAAAGGAGGCTCTAGAATTGGCCGAACCAGGTAATTTTTAGTGACTTAACAATTCTATGAGAAATCTAAATTACCAGCTGAAAAGTAGTTGCTATCTTTTCATATTTTAGATTGTTGATGTTATTGTAGATTTGTGTGTATTCATCTTACAAAAATATAAGTTTGTTTATTTGTAACCAAAATGCACTAAAATTATAAGTGAATTGTTGCATATTGTCCGACTCTGGGAAAAATTTTACTTTTAAAATTTCAAAGTATTTGGGATTTTTAAAACAGCTTCTATATTCAATAATTTTTTTTCCCCTCATTAGGGTCAGTTGAGCCCCAAATGAGGGGAGAGTACAGGTGTCATTGAAGAGTTTTCAAAGGGCCCCGAAGGGGGTCTGGACAGAACTTAAAGATTTTGGGCCAAAAAATTTGAAATGAAAAAAGAAAAACCCCCTTGGTCCTTTTGTGCAAACCCCGAAGGGGATGTATTAGTCCCGTAAAGCCCTGAAACTTTCCCGATATCAAGAAAAAATTTTACTTAAAGAATAAAACTTACATGAAGTCCTTTAAATTTTTCAATATGAAATTTTGGTGGGAAAATTTGAAGTTTTCTTTTACCCCTTTTTTACCCTTTGTTTTTTTAAGTTATTCAAAAAAATTTTTTTTGGGTTTTCAGGGTTCCCACAAAAGGGTTGATGGCCTGTTGAACCAAATGAAAGAATTACCTGCCAGACTGAGAGCTTATGCCTCGTATGAACATGTGAAGAGGCTATTACAAGGATTTGCTAAGGTTAGCATTCATAATACATGTATAACATTGCTGTTTTCTTGGCTCCCTTCATATTTATATTTGTTGTATATAAACAATTCAGCATTATGTGTGCTTTAGGTGTGCTTCATCTTGCCATAATCTTATATTTAATTTGCAATGAAAAAAGTAATATAGCTTTTGAGTGATTAGGGAATACAAATTTTAAATTTCTTTTGTTTTATTTCAAGGTGAATGTGTTGGTAGTTGAATTAAAATCTGAAGCTTTGAAGGAGCGTCATTGGAAACAACTGACTCGTCGTCTTGGTGTTAAGTGGGTGTTGTCAGATTTGACCTTGGGTCATGTATGGGATATAGACTTACTGAAGAATGAACATATTGTCAAAGATATAATCCTTGTTGCACAGGGAGAAATGGCTTTGGAAGAATTCTTGAAACAGGTAGGTAGCTTTTACAAGAATATGTATAGATAATAGATTGTTTGTACGGTAATGTCTGTTTCAGAACTACAATCATTAACTCTGGTGGAATTTGCAGGCTTTAAAGCTATGATTTTTGATAGATGAATACCTTAATTTATTTAATGAAATAACTTAAAATTTTTATATACTGTAGCTTATAAGTGTGATGTAGTTTTATCAATAACATTCACATGTACTTAAAATATTAGGTGAGTGAGACATGGAGAGCATATGAGTTGGACATGGTGAGTTACCAGGGTAGGTGCAGACTGATTCGAGGCTGGGATGACCTCTTCAACAAGGTCAAGGAACACATCAACAGTGTAATGGCCATGAAACTCTCCCCTTACTACAAGGTATACACAGTTTTTCTCAAAATATCTTAGTTAAAACATCTGAATTTATAAGTAAAAAGTTACTATCTAAGAGTACATCATTAATTAAGTAATCTGTGCATTATCTGCTTTTATGTGAACAGCAAATTTTTGTCTGAAGAAATAGTAACTTATATAATAACTTTATAATATATCTAGTATGAAATAAAAATTGTGTATGAATACATATATCTAGTATTGAATGTCTGTATTGCAGCAATTTTAGGAGGGAAACCCCGGGAGGGAGGGCAAGGTTAAAAAGAATCAATGCATTTTTTATGGGTTTTGGGTAGAATTTTAAGAAAATGGGGCCCATCTTGAAGGATTTTTTACAGGAAAATGCTGAATTCAACATTTCCCCCAGTAAGACACAAAAATTCCAGGGGGAAGTGGTTAATTTTAATATAGCTTTTTAATGATTTTTTTATTTCTTAAAAAACCAAATAATTTTTTTTTTAAATTTAAATTTCTGTTTTTCGCTTATGGTGTCTTGTTTATGAATTTGAATAACCTATAGAAATGATTAAAATTGAAGCATGCATTAAATAGACCCAAACATTATTGAGTGAACATTTGTTTTCAGAGTGAGTACAGAGTTCCTGGCATTAATGAAGAAGGTAGCCAAGTCTCCACTAGTGATGGATGTACTCAACATTCCTAACTCACAGAGACAGTTGGAGAGATTAGCCGACCTCCTCGGCAAGATACAGAAGGCTTTAGGAGAGTATCTAGAGAGAGAAAGGGCATCATTCCCAAGGTACATACACTTCTACATATATGTCTATATCAAAACATGTATATCGTACTATAAAGTTATTCAGATTTTTATGCCCCCATTTCGAAGAAAAGGGGGTATATTGCTTTGCACTTGTCGGTCCGTCGGTCCGTCGGTCCGTCGGTCCGTAGACCAAATGGTTTCCGAGTGATAACTAAAGAACCCTTAGGCCTAGGAACTTCAAACTTGGTATGGTGATTGGTCATGACCAGTAGATGAACCCTATTGATTTTGGGGTCAAGGGGTCAAAGGTCAAGGTCACATTGACCTTGTAAGCAAAAACGGTTTCCGATCAATAACTAAAGAACCTTAAGGCCTAGGAACTTCAAACTTGGTATGGTGATTGGTCATGACCAGTAGATGAACCCTATTGATTTTGGGGTCAAGGGGTCAAAGGTCAAGGTCACATTGACCTTGTAAGCAAAACGGTTTCCGATCAATAACTAAAGAACCTTAAGGCCTAGGAACTTCAAACTTGGTATGGTGATTGGTCATGATCAGTAGATGACCCCTATTGATTTTGGGGTCAAGGGGTCAAAGGTCAAGGTCACATTGACCTTGTAAGGAAAAACGGTTTCCGATCAATAACTAAAGAACTTTAAGGCCTAGGAACTTCAAACTTGGTATGGTGATTGGTCATGATCAGTAGATGACCCCTATTAATTTTGGGGTCAAGGTGTCAAAGGTCAAGGTCACATTGACCTTGTAAGCAAAAAACGGTTTCCAATCAATAACTAAAGAACTTTAAGGCCTAGGAACTTCAAACTTGGTATGGTGATTGGTCATGATCAGTAGATAACCCCTATTGATTTTGGAGTCAAGGGGTCAAAGGTCAAGGTCACATTTGACCTCTTGGGTAAAAACGGTTTCTGATCAATAACAAAAGAACCCTTAGGCCTAGGAACTTCAAACTTGGTATGGTGATTGGTTATGACCAGCAGATGACCCCTATTGATTTTGGGGTTAAGGGGTCAAAGGTCAAGGTCACATTGACCTTGTAGGTAAAAACGGTTTCCGATCAATAACGAAAGAACCCTTAGGCCTAGGGACTTCAAACTTGATATGGTGATTGGTCATGATCAGTAGATGACCCCTATTGATTTTGGGGTCAAGGGTTCAAAGGTCAAGGTCACATTGACCTCTTAGGTAAAAACGGTTTCCGATCAATAACTAAAGAACCCTTAGGCCTAGGAACTTCAAACTTGGTATGGTGATTGGTCATGACCAGCAGATGACCCCTATTGATATTGGGGTTATGGGGTCAAAGGGCAAGGTCACATTGACCTTGTAGGTAAAAATGCTTTCCAATCAATAACTTAAGAACCCTTAGGCCTAGGAACTTCAAACTTGGTATGGTGATTGGTCATGACCAGCAGATGACCTATTGATTTTTGGGTCAAAGGGTCAAAGGTCAAGGTCACATGGACCTTGTAGGTAAAAAACGGTTTCCGATCAATTAACTAAAAAGGCTTAGGCCTAGGAACTTCAAACTTTGTATGATGATTGGTCGTGACCAGCAGATGACCCCTATTGAGTTTTGGGTCAAGGGGTCAAAGGTCAAGGTCACATTGACCTTGTAAGTAAAAAGGGTTTCTGATCAATAATTTAAGAACGCTTAGGCTAGGAACTTCAAACTTGGTATGGTGATTTGTCATGACCAGCAGATTACCCCTATTGATTTTGGGATCAAGGGGTCAAAGGTCAAGGTCACATTGACATTGTAAGTAAAAACGGTTTCTGATCAATAACTAAAGAACTCTTCGCCTAGGAACTTCAATCTTGGCATGGTGATTGGTCATGAGCAGCAGATGACCCCTATTGATTTTGGGGTCAAAGGTCAAGGTCACATTGACCTTGTATGTTAAAACGGTTTCTGATCAATAACTAAAGAACCCTTAGGCCTAGGAACTTCAAACTTGGTATGGTGATTGGTCATGACCAGCAGATGACCTATTGATTTTGGGGTCAAGGGGTCAAAGGTCAAGGTCACATTGACCTTGTAGGTAAAAACGGTTTCTGATCAATTAACTAAAAACGCTTAGGCCTAGGAACTTCAAACTTTGTATGATGATTGGTCGTGACCAGCAGATGACCCCTATTGAGTTTTGGGTCAAGGGGTCAAAGGTTAAGGTCATGACCAGTAGATACTTGATAACCCTTATTAATTGTTTGATCACTGGGTCAGAAGTCATGCATAATAACCTTATCACATGACTAATTGGCTGCTGATAGGGGGCATACATGTTTTACAAACATATCTTGTTTAAAAGCATTCACTATACATAAATAGTAGAAGCAGAATTGTGTAATAATTACTGTAACATACCAACAGTTTTGGTCTGATTTATTACTTTTTAGCTCACCTGTCACAAAGTGACAGGGTGAGCTTTTGTGATCGCTTTTCGTCCGTCGTCCGTAAACTTTTACTTTAAATGACATCTCCTCATAAACCGCTGAGCCAATTTCATCCAAACTTCACGGGAATGTTCCTTTGGTGGTCACCTTTAAAAATTGTTCAAAGAATTTAATTCCATGCAGAACTCTGGTTGCCATGGCAACCGATAGAAAAAACTTAAAATATCTTCTTTTAAAAAACCCAAAGAGGTAGAGCTTAGATATTTGGCATGAAACATCTTCTAGTGAGTGTCTATCAAGTTTGTTCAAATAAAAGCCCTGGGGTCAAAATTGGCCCCGCCCCGGGGGTCATTGATTTTCCCTATATGCATATAGTAAAAACTTAAAAAATCTTCTTTTAAAGAACCCAAAGAGCTAGAGCTAAGATATTAAGCATGAAACATCTTCTAATGAGTGTCTACCAAGTTTGTTCAAATAAAAGCCCTGGGGTCAAAATTGGCCCGGCCGCAGGGGGTCATTGATTTTCCCTATATGCATAAAGTAAAAACTTATAAAATCTCCTTTTAAAGAACCCAAAGAGCTAGAGCTAAGATATTTAGCATGAACGATGTTCTAATGGGTGTCTATCAAATTTGTTTAAATAAGAGCCCTGGGGTCAAAATTGGCCCTTCCCCGGGGGACATTAATTTTCTTTATATGTGTATAGCAAAAACTGAAAAGTCCTCTTTGAAAAAAAACAAATAGCTAGAGTTTAGATATTAAACATGAAACATCTTCTAGTGAATGTCTTCAAAGTTTGTTCAAATAAAAGCCCTGGGGTCAAAACTGGCCCGGCCCTAGGTGTTTCATTGCTTTTAACTATATGTGTATAGTTAAAACTTAAAAAATCTTTTTTTTAAAAACTCAACGTGCTAGACCTTAGATGTTTAGCATGAAACATCTTCTAATGGGTGTCTACCAAGTTTGTTCAAATAAAAGCCCTGAGGTTTAAACTGGCCCCACTCTGGGGGCCTATATACAGGTGAGTGACTTCAGGGCCATCATGGCCCTCTTGTTTAAGTTTATTCCTTTTTTTAGATTTTTCAGTTTCTATGATATTTCACCCTGTATTTTGTCTTGTTTATTTATTAGATTCTATTTTGTTGGAGATGAAGATTTACTAGAGATTATTGGTAACAGTAAGAATGTCGCCAGGTTACAGAAACATTTCAAGAAAATGTTTGCTGGAGTAGCCTCCATCAATCTCAATGATGATAACTCACAGGTGCTTGGTCTACTGTCCAAGGAGGGAGAGGATGTAAGTATAAGCTGAGTTTGTACAATCTATGTTTTGTTCCTACTAGAATTGAAGGACACTGAGGACTAGTAAAATGAACATCAAATTATTTAAGGTTACTTCATCATTCTAAATAAAATGATGTAACATTTTATTAAAATTTATAAATGGTCACTATTATTGATGAGTCCAACCTAATGGTCATTTTGTCTCTCACCACTGATTTAGAAACCATTTGAGAATAGTAGTTAGTCACTTGTAATTACTGATTACTTGTCAAGGAAAGCTGGTTATGTTGGCAGATTGCCGAGACATAACAAAATATGTATTACAATCAGTGTTAAAACCAAACAAAAAAGTCATATGGTTGATATAATTGAATAGAAAGGTGTTTATTGTAGAAATAGATTTATACATAGAAATAAAATTTTAAGATCGTGAGCTTTATTTAACAATTTATATATTTTAGGTTGTATTTGCAACACCAGTATCTATTGCCCAGCACCCTAAGATCAATGAATGGCTGACTTGTGTAGAAAAGGAAATGAGAGTAACACTTGCTAAACTGTTAGCTCAGGCAGTCAAAGATGTTGCTACATTCAAATCAGGAACCATTGATCGAGAACAGTACTTGGTCTGGGTAGACAAATTCCAGGTAAAATGTTGCAGATTATATTAATCTTAAAACATCCTTAATCATAATATTTTATAAATGTATAAATGCAGCTTATTTATATTTCATATCAATTTTGTTTTAGATGCTTATTATTTATTCACAAAATTGATATGAAATTGCAGTGATAAATACTTTTAAAATATTTTATATTTGTTTAATACTTGGAATTATTTTCAATTGACTGTTTAACCTTATTGCATTGATGCGTTGAATAGGCCCAGTTGGTAGTGTTGGCGTCACAGATTTCCTGGTCAGAAAGTGTGGATGGTGCACTTACTGCTATAGCTAACAAGGGAGGAAAAGATTTAGGACCTCTCAATGATGTTCTAGGATCTGTTGAATCCACGCTCAATATTCTAGCCGACTCTGTACTTCATGAACAACCACCAGTACGCAGAAAGAAATTGGAGCATCTGGTAATAATTTCTATACTTTGTATTTCTTGAAATTGACATGATATATTTATTCAAATTATATTATAAACCATCATCTTGAAATATGAAAACTCAAAAATGACCATTTAACTTTGTATATCAGAAACTTAAAACATGATTATGGTATAATCAGTAGTGAGACAGGAAGATACAGTTCTTACAATGTTTGATAAATACAAGCTATTTTCTTGTTATTAATTCATTTATTGATAATGTTGTGTTATATATATATATAGATTACAGAGCTGGTACATCAGAGGGATGTTACAAGACAGTTGATCAAGGACAATGTTAACAGTCCCAAGTCATTTGACTGGCTATGTCAGATGAGATTCTACTTTGATCCGAAGAACCCTGATGTTCTACAGCAGCTGTCTATACAGATGGCCAATGCCAAGTTTAACTATGGATTTGAGTACCTAGGAGTGCAGGAGAAACTTGTACAGACCCCTCTCACTGACAGATGTTATCTCACCATGACACAAGCACTTGAGGCCAGGCTAGGAGGATCTCCTTTTGGTAATAAAATACAGGAATTTATTTATTCTTTGTTTCTATTATAATAAGGTCTTTTTATTGGCAAGCTCTTTGTTCATTTTTCAAGACTTGTTTGCATGTAATAGGATAAAAGTTAGGTTGATTTATGTGTAATAATTATTAATAAGGAATGTTCAGAAAGATTGAAAATTCTGCGGAAAATATTTGTGCATTGCGTGTCCTTCTGTCAGTGAAACTTCATGCATACATAAGATTGATGTATTAAATAAGGTACATGTATGATGTTGGCCCAAATTATATATAATTTATATTTATGAAATAATGCTTGTATCGTCTCATACATGATATTAGGATAGACACAAGTTTAGAAATATTTAAACTAAGATATAAAACTTTAATTCTTCAGGTCCTGCTGGTACAGGTAAAACAGAGTCTGTGAAAGCCCTTGGTAACCAGTTAGGTAGATTTGTGCTTGTCTTCAACTGTGACGAGACATTTGACTTCCAGGTAGGCCTCACAATATACTATGATCATTAGTAAAAACATAAATACTTCATCCCAGATATGTAATTGTATTGAAAAATAAAGTTGTAACTTCAAAAAAAAAAGTTTCTTAAAAGGGGAAAGTTGTTAGTCTGAAATAGATTGTTGTTATTGATATTTATTTGCTCTGAAATTTAATCTGCGTATATTTCTTTTCAGGCGATGGGACGTATCTTTGTTGGTCTGTGTCAGGTAGGAGCATGGGGATGTTTTGATGAGTTCAATCGTCTGGAGGAACGCATGTTATCTGCAGTCTCCCAGCAGATCCAGACCATACAGGAAGCTCTTAAAGACATGATGGGCAGGAAAGATAAAGGTGTGTATGTCTTCTTTAAGTTTTTGTGTTAGTAAATTGTAAGGTTGGAGAATCTGTGCATTTAAAATGTTATTTAAAATTTTAGTGTTTGTATGTTATTGCTGGAAGCAAGATTGAAGGTATACTACGCTTTTATATTTGTTGATATATCACTCTGAAATAACTGTATGGAATGCTTTTGTGGTAATATTTCACAACCAAGTGAAGATTTATAACAATTTAAGAGTTTGTAATATTTTATTGTTGGCCACTGTGTATTCCATGTATTCTGATGAGAGTTTTACGCTAAACTAAAACTTACTATATCATTCTTTGTACAAATATTAACAAATGTAGATGGGTTTAAAAAAATTATTGTTTTTGATCTATCAGATGGCAAGAAACAGAAGGGTATGATTGTTGTGTGCTGTTTGTACTAAACCCCACCCACTACCAGTCTACTACTTTTTGGGACTATTTTATATACTATCATGTTAAAATAATCTTAAAAATCTCATTGTTATTGCTTGAAACTTGGAAGATTGAAGACTTGTGTCTAAAAGTCATTTGTCCCAAGAGATGCAAGTGTAAAAAATGGCAAATTCTGATGAAAAAAAATCTGGTTTAATACTGTAAAAATCCTGGGACTTTTGTTAAGTTAGAGTTATGTCAGTATGTGGTAGACTGGATGTGCACACTAAAGTAAATTTGTGATGTTTTGATACTGACCAAATGTTTCCTTGCACTTCAGTTCTAGTTTTAAGCATTGCAATATTAAAATCTTTTTATTGTGTTGAAAATCCTTATAAAAATAAGGTAATCTTAATTTTAAATTACTCTTGATTTTATTGTTTTAAGATATATTGATATACATTTGACTTTTATTACAAAAAGTATTGTAAGAGATAATTTTGTTTTATATATACTATAGTATTTATGATATTTTAGCTTTCCATTAATTTATTTTGCCCTTTTACAGCTTTTACAACAGCTTGTGTGATTCTTTTCTATTATTTTTTATACATCAGCTTTTTGTGCCTCTATAAACTGAAGTGTTTTTACTGAATATATTTCAGAAAAACTGGTAGTAATATATGAATATGCATCAAATTGTTAAATTTGCCATGACTATGCAATAAGCTGTAAGGTGTCAGTATTTATTCTGGGCATTATCATGTGATAGTTGTTTCAAACAACTACAAATCTACAAGTGCATTATGAGGGAGATTTTAGAAATATTTGGGACCATAAATCTTATGATTACATATGTTAGCTTGCAAAACTGTCACACAAAGAGTTGTACCTTAATTATGTTGATATCATATAAAAACACAGATGTTGGGGTCTATATTTACCTAACTATAACACTTTTGGTAAACAGAGTCTTTGTACTTGTGTAAAGGATATATTACTGTTTCAGGAATGTAAAGTTGTAAGCAGTTCTAATGTTTTTTTCTGATTTTTTTTTTCATCTAGACTGTGACAATACATGTGTATATACTTGCACCAGCAAAGCAAACAATGTAAGAAAAATATTCAAAAATAAGAAAAGTTTATAGTTCTTGTTATTATTACATTTATTTCTACAGGTCATCCAATGATTGTAGAACTGATTGGAAAGTCAGTAAAGGTAAACCCAGACATGGCTATATTTATAACCATGAACCCTGGCTATGCTGGAAGATCAAACCTTCCCGACAACTTGAAGAAACTGTTCCGTAGTCTTGCTATGACCCAACCAGATAGACAGCTTATTGCTGAGGTTATGTTGTACTCCCAGGGATTTAGAACTGCCGAAAAACTCTCATCAAAGATTGTACCATTCTTCAAGTAAGTTCTAATGCTGAAATATCTGGGACAGTGTAATAAATTAATGTCTATAAACTTCACACCTTAAAGAAGATCCATGGTTTTATTCAATTCCTGTAAAACAAGACCTATATATATTTGTTTTTATTTTTATTATATCAAGATAGACTTAGAATTTAAAAGAAGTGGTGTAATACACAGTGTATAAATCTATATGTGAGATTGTAATATCAAAGATTTTGTGAAGAAATATTAGTATAATCTTTCCCTCATATCATTTAGACTTTGTGATGAGCAGTTATCACCTCAGTCCCACTACGACTTTGGTCTGAGAGCGTTGAAGTCTGTACTAATATCAGCTGGTAATGTAAAGAGAGACAGGATAATGAAAGTGAAGGAAGATCTACTGGAGAAGGGACAAGCTGTGGAGGAGGCTTCTATAGCTGAAAATCTACCAGAACAAGAGGTATATATATGAATGAACATTAAATTTTGAAAAAGTTCTTGTATTTACAGGAAATTATATTTTAAAGTGAGAACTGTTTGCACTGCTTGAAATACTTCCAGTTTCTACAGACTTTGTTCAGTTTGATAGTGTAGGAAGCTCTAAGCTTATTGACACAAGCTCCAATCCTCCCCTGGAACCAACCAGTACTGAACAATTAGTGTAAAGTTTCATGCTAAAAGGAAACAAAGGCTTGCCTCTGATGTGTGTTGAACCAACGCTGATAGTAATCCTTAGTAACAAGTGTTAAGTAGCAACCACAAATACATGAATACTTTAGAAGATACTGACCTGTAAATCAGTTTCTGTCGATAAGCTTATATTCAGCAAATTCTTTGGAAATTACACATTTTTTTTATGAAAATATATATATACTTACTATTATTTGTTTTACAGATTTTGATTCAAAGTGTTATGGAAACAATGGTACCAAAGTTGGTTGCTGAAGATATCCCACTATTACACAGTCTGTTGTCGGATGTGTTCCCAGGCGTGAAATATAACCCAGCAATGATGGAAGCTCTCCGTAGGGAGGTGAAGAGAGTCTGTGAGGAAATGTTCCTGGTTTATGGAGAGGGTGATGAACTTGGTGCAATGTGGATTGAAAAAGTAAACATTATATGTGATTCATTGTGTAGTTTGTTACCTATATCACTAGAGAATTTTACTTTAAAGTTGGATGGATAGTGAGGTTAATAATCTAACAGTCCTGTAAATGTAGGTTGTTAGTTTCAGCCTCTTATTTCTGGTTAAAAACCATTAATAATACAATCGATTCACCAAAGTGATGCTTTGATAAAAAATTTATTGTTGAAGGAGTGTTTTATCATCACCTTATTGGTAGGCTTTAGTGCTGGTTTTTAATTGCAAGTCTTCAAATGATGTCATGATTTATACTGTGATATATTTGGTATTGTAGGTGTTACAGTTATACCAGATCACCGTGTTACACCATGGTTTGATGATGGTAGGACCCAGTGGTAGTGGTAAATCTACAGCCTGGAGAGTCCTTCTTAAAGCTCTAGAGAGACTAGAAGGTGTGGAAGGTGTCGCACATGTCATTGATCCTAAAGTAAGTGACTATATCAATCTACAGTTAACTATTTTGATTGTATGTGTAAGTCTGTAGAATTATTTTACTTTGTGAATTGGGTTAAAAAATTAAATTTGATGCAAGTTTGTTGAAACTTCTGTCAATGATAGCATCATATTTAATTTCTTCTATTTTAGTCAATTTCCAAGGATTATTTGTATGGTAACATGGATCCGAACACAAGGGAATGGACTGATGGTCTCTTTACACACACTCTTAGGAAGTAAGTGGAATAATTTATACTTTGCATTTTGTGTAGTCAATAGTACTGAGTTAGCTGCTGTGTAGTCATTGAAAAAGTATTACTTTAGTTTTGATTACAATGTTGTCTTTTTAATAACTGATGTAAAATTAATTATGAAATCGGTAAAATTTTAAGGAAGAGAAATTTACATGTATTTCAAAATGTTAACAATGTTTTGTTGTATTTTTTGTTAGGATAATTGACAATGTAAGAGGAGAGTTACAGAAACGTCAGTGGATCATATTTGATGGAGATGTAGATCCTGAATGGGTGGAGAATCTGAACTCAGTACTAGATGATAACAAACTTCTTACTTTACCAAATGGTGAACGTCTTGGTATACCACCTAATGTAAGTCTTGTTTTATTATACAAATATGTCATTGATGATTACTTACCATTTTACAAGTGCAAGAATATACTATTTGTTTTCATAAGTAAGTTATTAATATCTGCCTAAATCATAATTCCCATTTAATAGCTGTTTCAATTTCATAATATTTAAACTTACCGTTTTGTATGACATAAGGCATAACAGATGAACATTTTTGTAAATTTGGAAGTCTTTGTTTTGGGATGATAAAGGTTTTTATCAAGCAATAGGTTGTTAGATCAGCTTTCTGTATTTACATTATGTTGAATTGATGTATTGGTATTTATCTGTTTGTAGGTGCGTATAATGTTTGAGGTACAGGACTTGAGGTATGCTACATTGGCTACTGTAAGTAGATGTGGTATGGTATGGTTTAGTGAAGATGTTTTGTCTGTTGAGATGGTATTTGAAAACTTCATGTCACGCCTGAAAAACATACCTCTTGATGATTCAGATGATGTGGATACTTACAAGATTGGAAAACAAGAACAAGAGGAGGTTGTTTCCCCACTTTTACAGGTAAGTTTCACAATGTGAATGAAAGAAGTTAATTCTACAATGTATCTGATGATTATTATTAATAATTTGTTTTTGAAGTTAAGTTTATGCAGAATATATGTTGTGTAGGAAGTTAATCTTATAGACAAACTCTCAAATTCATTCCTTTAACCAACCAGTACTCAGCAATGAGTGTAATGTTTCTTGCTCAAAGAAAGAACAGTTAACTCTTGAAGGTGGTTTAAACCCATGTGCCAGCAATATTTAGATTACTAGTCCAATGTTTTATTCAAGAGGCCACAATGTTTGTTTAAAAACCTGTGTATTTGGTATTTGAATGGCTGTTAATTTTTTTGTAACTTGTTTTTAACATGTGTGGTATCTATTTAGTCATAAAATTTAGATAAGATATTCTGCATAAAACATCCTCAATATAACTTGTCATTTGACTTATTGTTACAGGTACAAAGAGATTGTGCTTTAGTGTTGAGCAGTCACTTGACATCAGATGGGCTAGTTAACAGATGTCTAGAGTTTGCTATGGATCTAGAACACATCATGGACTTTACTCGCCTACGTGCATTGAACTCTCTCTTCTCAATGTTGAATCAAGCTGTGAGAAATATCTTGAACTACAACAGCAGTCATCCTGATTTCCCTATGGCTGTATGTTATTTTATTTTTTCCATATTTCATTTCAAATGTTGTAAGTTACATGTTGTTGTAGTTTACATAAAATCATTAAATCACACACTCACAACAAGCTTTGAGTTTGCTAGGTATTGTTAAGAAACCTTTCTGGTAAGGTGTTATGAGATGATTTTCTAATTATTGGGGTTACCAGATTACCTTGACATTGTCAGTGTAACAAAATCCATGAACCAATCATAGTTAAATACAAACTTGTTGTTAAGAGATCATTTACAATGCTTTTTGTATCGCTCTCTTGCAAAATCATGAGTTTGAATATTTCTGGACATCATGTGGTATATCAACCTTGATGTAATATATTTCAGCAAAACCAGTTAGAGTCGTACATGAGCAAGTATTTGATTCACAGTCTGTTGTGGTCACTGTCAGGAGATGGCAAGCTGAAAGTACGAGAAGACATGGGACAGTTTATACGTGGTATCACAACTATACCCCTACCACCTGCTACAAACTTGAGAATCATTGATTATGAGGTAATGAAATAAAACTATTTATATTTACAGCAAAGATTATTTATTTTATGTTCATGTAGAATGTCTCTGAAATATTCAGCATGCCAGGAGCATATGATATATTATTCAGCTTTTTAAATATAAGTTAGTTGTCCAAATATTTGAAGAAATATATACTGAAAGATTATGAAGTTTTTCATAGTTTTGAAATGATAAGAAATATTTATGTTTTGATTTATAAGTTCTTGTATTTTCTTTGTCTTGATCTACATTAAGATAGGAAAATTTGAATGTTATTTTGAGTTACATATCTATAAAGGTAAAATGTAAAGTATTCAAGTATCATTAAAATAAATATTTGAATATTTCAGGTATCAATCACAGGGGAATGGACACCATGGCAGTCTAGGGTTCCAGTCGTGGAAATTGAGACCCACAAGGTGGCGTCCCCTGATGTTGTCATACCAACAATTGACACTGTACGCCATGAGAATCTTCTGTTTACATGGCTGGCTGAACACAAGCCTCTGGTACTATGTGGTCCACCAGGCTCTGGTAAAACCATGACTTTATTCAGTGCTTTAAGATCGTTACCAGACATGGAAGTTGTTGGTCTCAACTTCTCCAGTGCCACAACTCCTGAGTTGTTATTGAAGACATTTGATCATTACTGTGAATACAGACGTACACCTAATGGTGTAATTCTATCTCCAGTACAGATTAACAAGTGGCTTATTCTGTTCTGTGATGAAATCAACTTACCAAATATGGATAAATATGGTAAGCTTCTTTTCTTTATAAAGTTGAGATCAAAGTAGTTAATGATAAACTGTAAGAACCTACTTTTGTTGTAACAAATGTAACATGTATAATTTAACGTATGTTTCTGTTGATAATTAAATTTCATAAGGTCATAAATTTGATTTGTTTTGTTAGATTTATTCAGTGTAAAGATATAGTTGTATATCATTATTATTGTATTATAGGAACACAGAGAGTTATATCATTTCTGCGTCAGATGTTGGAATATGGTGGTTTCTTCAGGACTGCAGATCAGACCTGGGTTAAGTTTGAAAGAATACAGTTTGTTGGTGCATGTAACCCTCCTACTGACCCTGGCAGAAAACCTCTATCACACAGGTTTGTTTAATACAGTTACTGCAGAATTAAGAGTATCTTTGGTTTTTTCCAGCTAATTTGGGGGTACAAACAAACTTTCCTAGGTACAACTTTGTACTGTTGCACTAATAAGTGTAAAAATCTGTCAAATGAGAGCTACAGGTTTATCACAGCAGAAAGCACATAGTAAAGCTGTAAAGGTAAAAGCTTGTTTGTTACGGTTGATATGCTTAAAATCAATATTTACTTAGTTCTGAATACTAATATTTACTCTAACATACAAAAAATTTTAATTTTTTTTTTGTAAATATAGACCAAATTGACATTGATTTTGTTAATGTACAGGTTCTTGCGTCATGTACCAGTTGTGTATGTGGATTATCCAGGCAAGATTTCCCTCACCCAGATTTATGGAACATTCAACAGAGCCATGCTTAGACTTGTACCTAGTCTTAAACCATATGCTGAACCTCTCACCAATGCTATGGTGGAATTCTATCTCATGTCACAGGTATATAAAATAAATGACATACAGTAAATGCATTGCATTTGAGATTATAAATGGTTAAATTTAAACATTCTCATTAGAAAGTAAGTATCTATTGTATTTCTAGAGCAGTGTTTTAAGTTGATCATGACAAATATTTAAAAAAGAATAAGATTTTTTTTTTTTTGTAATTTCAATTGTAAATCATATGAAAAGGATTACATCAATAATATATGAAATTACTTCTGGTAATAGTAATGTTGTTTAGTGTATTGTAATTTGAAGTAATCATTAACACATATATATATATAATTTGTAGGAGAGATTTACCCAGGACATGCAGCCCCATTATGTGTACAGTCCTCGTGAAATGACACGCTGGGTTAGAGGTATATGTGAAGCTCTGAGACCAATGGAGAGCCTTTCAGTAGAGGGTCTGGTCAGAATCTGGGCACATGAAGCCCTTAGACTGTTCCAGGACAGGTATGTGTCCATTATGTTACATATCATAATAGATGTGCATATGTATAGCATATTACTTACTTTGATAAATTATTAAGTTGTCACACTGTTTTTAGTTTCTATAGACAGATTTTAGAAAATATGTTCAAATCCATTTATTATGCTTCCCGAAAAATTTCGGGGGAGCATATAGTCGTCGGGTTGTCCGTCAGTCCGTCCGTCCGTACATCCAAATTCGTGTACGGCCCATAACTTAGTTATTTGAAGTCAGATTTAAAAACTATTTCACAGAAATGATCACCATATTGAGACGACGTGTCGCGCGCAACATTTGGGTCGCTACCTTGAAGGTCAAGGTCACAGCATGACCTTGCATCAAAATCGTGTCCAGTCCATAACTTCTTTATTTGAAGTCGGATTTTAAAACTATTTCACAGAAATGATCACCATATTGAGACGATGTGTCGCGCGCAACATTTGGGTCGCTACCTTGAAGGTCAAGGTCACAGCGTGACCTTGCAGCAAAATCGTGTCCAGCTCATAACTTCGTTATTTGAAGTCGGATTTTAAAACTATTTCACAGAAATGATCACCATAATGAGACGACGTGTCGCGCCCAACATTTGGGTCGCTACCTTGAAGGTCAAGGTCACAGCATGACCTTGCAGCAAAATCCTGTCCAGCCCATAACTTCGTTATTTGAAGTCAGATTTTTGTGTCGCCTCTACGGAGTAGTGGCGACATAAAGGGATCACTTCTCCGTCGTCCGTCTGTCCGTCTGTCTGTTTGTCTGTCTGTCCGTCTGTCAATCTGTCCGTCACAAAACTTGTCCGGACTACCCCTCATAAACTACTGGTGCAATTTCATCCAAACTTTACAGGAATGATCAGTATCAAGTCTAATTGTGCATATTGTCAGCATTTTCCGGTTCAATGATTTTTGTCAGAGTTATGGCCCTTTAATAATTTTTAATTTTAAAGTTTGTCCGGACTACTTCTCTTATACCACTAATGCAATTTCAATGAAACTTTACAGGATTGATCTGTAGCTCAAGTCCTTGCGCATATTGCAAGGGTTTTCCGGTTGAATGATTTTTGGCCGAGTAATGGCCCTTTGATAAAAAGGTGTTTTTTTCTGTGTGTTGCCAGATACACAATAGCTTGTCCGGACTACTCCTCATAAACTACTGGTGCAATTTCATCCAAACTTTACAGGAATGATCAGTTCCAAGTCTAGTTGTGCATATTGTCAGCATTTTCCGGTTCAATGATTTTTGTCAGAGTTATGGCCCTTTAATAATTTTTATTTTTAAAGTTTGTCCGGACTAGTTCTCTTATACCACTTATGCAATTTCAATGAAACTTTACAGGATTGATCTGTAGCTCAAGTCCTTGCGCATATTGCACGGGTTTTCCGGTTGAATGATTTTTGGCTGAGTTATGGCCCTTTGATAAAAAGGTGTTTTTTTCTGTGTGTTGCCAGATACGCAAAAGCTTGTCCGGACTACTCCTCATAAGCTACTGGTGCAATTTTATCCAAACTTTACATGATTGATCAGTACCAAGTCTAGTTGTGCACTGTCTGTCTGTCTGTCCGTCTGTCACAAAATTTGTCCCAACATGAAATTGGCTATTATGAGGCGACACATGTGATTACTGATCGCTCTTGTAAAACTATTTCACAGAAATGATCACCATATTAAGACTTCCTGTCGCACGCAACATTTGGGTCATTACTTTGAAGGTCAAGGTCACAGCGTGACCTTACAGCAAAATCTTGTCCGGCCCATAGCTTAGTTGTTTGAAGTCGGATTTTAAAACTATTTCACAGAAATGATCACCATATTAAGATGACGTGTCGCGCGCAACATTTGGGTCGTTATCTTGAAGGTCAAGGTCACAGCATGACCTTGCAGCAAAATCGCGTTCGGCCAGTAACTTCGTTCCTTAAAGTCGGATTTAACAACTATTTCACAGGGATGATCACCATATTGAATTGACGTGTCACATGCAACATTTGAGGCGCTACCTTGAAGGTCAAGGTCATAGCATGACCTTGCAGCAAAATCATGTCTAATTTTACAACTATTTCACAGAAATGATCACCATATTGAGACAATGTGTCGTGCACAACATTTGGGTTGTTTTTACACTTTGAACTTTGTCTGTGACATAACTCTGACACTGCAAGAGGTATACCTTCCTGTGTCCAAAACCTATTCGGGGAGCATCACCCGGTTCAACCGGCTCTTGTTTCAGTTGTTGTTGTTATTTGTGTGCTGTACATTTGTAAAGGTGGTGAAGAACAAATTATTTCTGTTTGGTTTACATTAATTTTATGAAGATTAAAAGTAGATGTTTTAACTAATCATATTTTTGTTTCCTATAGGTTGATAGAAGATGAAGAACGTCATTGGACAGATGAGAATGTTGACATGGTTGCTATGAAACATTTCCCAGGTATCAACAGAGAGGAAGCTATTGCTAGACCTATATTGTTCTCTAACTGGCTATCAAAGGATTACACTCCAGTAGATAGGGAGGAACTGAGAGAGTACACCAAGGCTAGGCTGAAGGTTAGTTATACTGAAAATAAACCATAGCATGCTTAATAAAATAAGAAGTAACTATTTATTAGGAAGGCATATGATTAAGCTGATATAATTTTATATTATGTTATAATTTAGAGAAGGAGCGGTGGCCTAGTGGTTAAGGTGCCTACCTCTCAACCCATGGATCATGGGTTCAGGTCGAAATCGGCTCACGACCATGTTTCTTCATATGACAGCAGTACTGGTTGGTTCCAGGAAGTAGACAAGAAAGTGATTAATATAAGTTGCAAGAACATTGTTTCGCAATTGAGCTTAAATAAATATGTTTAAACCAGTATAGAAAAGCAGCAGTGTACCAGAATGTTAAAAGGTTGTTTGGGAAAAATTGCTTTTACTTTTTGTTAAAGTTCATTGTAAATTTCTATCATTGCAGGTATTTTATGAGGAAGAGTTGGACGTGCCGCTGGTACTGTTCGATGAGGTATTAGATCATGTATTACGTATTGATCGTATCTTCCGTCAACCTCAAGGTCACGTTCTCCTGATTGGAGTTAGTGGAGCAGGAAAGACAACTTTGTCTAGATTTGTTGCCTGGATGAATGGACTGACTGTGTATCAGATCAAGGTACACAATAAATACACAGCTGCCGACTTTGATGAGGATCTTAGAATTGTACTAAGGAGATCAGGTTGCAAGGTAAGAAATAGTATCTAATAATTTTGTTATATTGAAGATAGAGATGTTTTCATTGTGATTCCCACTATGATTATCCAGCTCAAATAACATTTTACTGAGCATTTTGTACAGGTTTCAATAATATCTGATTTAGCAATTTGTTTTAACTTTTGTATGATCTTATCACCACTTGGTTTCAGAATGAGAAGATAGCTTTTATAATGGATGAATCTAATGTGCTGGACTCTAGCTTCTTGGAAAGAATGAATACATTGTTGGCTAATGGAGAGGTACCAGGCTTGTTTGAAGGAGATGAATACACTACTTTGATGACACAGTGCAAGGAGGGTGCTACCAGAGAGGGCTCCATGCTTGACTCCTCCGAGGAACTTTACAAGTGGTTCACTCAACAAGTGAGCTTTCATTATTCAGTTCTTTATTTCAAATTTCTTTATGGTTTGGAGAACTTACTGTTGTTAATGTCACATGATATTTATTATCAATTTAAATAATCGGAAGACATTTATATATTTATAAGCCTTATTAGCTGACCATGCCTTGAAGAAGATAAGTAGATATTTATATATTTCATGTAAGATCCCTAATTCTTCTTAGTTGCCAGCTTGCATTTGAATAAATGCATGAAATTACATGTAATCTTCCTAAAGATGTAAACCTGCAACAAATAAAGCTTACACTTGTATATCTAAAAACTAAACAAAGTGCCTAAACAGTCATTATTTTTGTATAATACAGGTAATGAAGAACCTCCATGTGGTGTTTACAATGAACCCATCAGCTGAAGGACTGAAAGACCGAGCATCTACATCACCTGCTCTCTTTAACAGGTGCTTACCTTTGACTCTGAAAAATCTGCTCAAAATATTTTGATATTTCCGAATAACTTTTTAAATCTTATACCAGGTAAATTCTTAAGAATACATAACATAATAACTGCTGATCTGTACATGTATGTATCTCAGTTTGGTGAACAATTTGCTTATAGTCCATCATAAAAGTAAAAAATTAAATAAAATGAATTTGAACTATTTCAGATGTGTATTGAACTGGCTAGGTGACTGGTCTACAGGGGCTTTATACCAAGTTGGTAAGGAGTTCACAAATAAAGTGGATCTGGAGAAAGGACAGGTATGTCTAATTTGATCCAAGGCATATTTTGATTGTTAAACTGGTATCATTTTTCTCAGGTGGAAAAATATTTGGTATGAACATAAATATTTTTTTGTGAACTTATTAAAATAAAATTGTTGTAGTCGAATGTTTGCCCTCCTCAGAACTTGTGTACTTAAAAAATGTAAATATGACATTGGTTGCTTTGTGTATATTTCAGTACATTGCTCCAGAAAACTACCCCATTGCCTACCCATCACTGCCACAACCACCAGGACATCGTGATGCTGTCATCAATGCATTTGTGTTTGTACATCTGTCCTTACATCAGGCTAACACACACGTACAGAAACGAGGTGGACGAACCATGGCGATTACACCCAGACATTACCTTGACTTTATCAACCACTTTGTAAGAGTTGTCTCTCTTATATCATTAATAATTTAGAACAGAATGTTTATTTTGTTACTTTTGTAACTTGATATACAAATCATTCAACACAAAAGATTTCTGGAATGGATGATTTACTTCTGAAATGAGTAAAGACAACATAAGCAAAAACATTGTTTTTCTTCGATTAATTAAATTTTATTAAATATTTCATTAATCAATAATTGGTAATCTTTGTTATTACAGTAATCTTTTAAATTCGTTGAAACTGTTGGGCGGTAATACAAGAAATGACAATATTTCACTGGGTTCATGTATTGTAGGTAAAGTTATACCATGAGAAGAGATCTGACCTTGAGGAGCAGCAACTTCATCTAAACATTGGTCTACAAAAGATTCATGATACTGTAAAACAGGTCGGAGAACTACAGAAATCTCTCTCTGTTAAACGTATTGAACTGGAGGAGAAGAACAATGCTGCCAACTCTAAACTTAAACAAATGGTACATTTTTGTTTGTTTTAATAAAAAAACATAGCATTATCTTTTTTTTTAAAGATCACCTTATAGATTTAAAGAAATTAATATCTATGTTTGAGTTATGAAAAAAAGAATAATTAAGTTATGGAGTTTTAAAATACTGTTAGTATTAATTCATTATGTTTTAACACATTACAATTTACAAATAAGTGCTATCTATGGCTTTTAAATGATAACATCATCAATTTTCAACTGATTTAGATCACTCCCCTGAAATTAAATAAGAAAATAAAATATATATTTAAATACTGATGCAATCAGAAGACATTATAATGTGCTTACTTATCAATGCGACACAAGTCAAAGATGCTTTTCAACAGAATTTTGTATATCATTACAAAATTTAACTTCAAGTTTGTGTTGCACAAGTTATTGTTTTCAAAACACTTAGTTTGTGTTGAATGGAAAAATCTTTGTGAACTATTTTGACTAACTATTTTGTTGAGTATCTGGTCTCACATTAAATGTCATCACAGTTGTAAAGTTTAACTGAATAATAAAAAAAAAATGTAGAGTAACTACAGACTGTAAGCAAGTTTATTTTGCTATCTCAGGTAAAAGATCAACAAGAAGCTGAAGGTAAGAAGGTGACATCACAGGAGATTCAGCAAGCATTGAAGAAACAGACAGAGGAGATCCAGATAAAACAAGTTGATGTGAAGGAAGATCTAGACAAGGTCGAGCCAGCTGTCATAGAGGCCCAACAAGGTATGTCCATACCATTCATTCTTTCTATAGCCAGATACAATGTATGAAATTGTTATAACTGAATAGAACTAAGTTTGAGGATTTATGAATTATGTTCAATAGAAAAGTATAGCATATTATAGCATATTATACTTGAATGAGAAAAAAATTAGATATGTACATCCTGTTTTAAAGTGGTACATACAGCAGGTTTTTTGAAATGCCATTTAATTCAAAGTTGAAGAATGAAAATGTTGATAAATACCTTTATATTTTTGTGTGGTTTATTTCATTTAGCCTTTGATGAAGCTTTAGTTTGAGAAATGTATTTTGTTAAAGTGTTTGATAGGAATGTATTTTGTTGAAGTACGAAGGTAATGATAACTTATGACATGAGACCATTAAAAAACAGATGGCCTATCCCAGGAACAGTTTGCCATTTTATGTTTTGTTTAGTTGCTGGTCAATTTGTTTTATGTAGTAAAGTTTTGTTGCTGTTTTTACTTTTTAACTGACAGCTTTTCTTTTTATTTGGGCTTTTCTCAATTTATTTTTGTGAATTTTTTTTATTTTTAAAGTTTATTAAGATTACTTGTATACAATTGTTTTGGACTAAATATATATGATTAACAAATGAAATTGGTGACCAGCCTTCCTGAGATTTACTTCATATATAACCTTGTATATATTTTTGACTTTACCTAATATTCAATTATATATCTAAATTACTTAAATTTCCTCCTTGCAGTAAGGAATTCTTCCTTAATTATACAGACATACCGTGATACCTTAAACTTTGATTACGTAGCAATGAATCCACATTTTCACTTAATACATATTTTCCTTATTACATGTATAAATATACCAAGATTTATGCAAAAAAGTCTTACCTACTAAGTATACCACCTTTTTATCTTGCACATAAGTTTCTGATCAATTCTTTGACCCATTTTTTCCTTTAAATGCTATTGTCATCATGTACGCTTCAGTTTTTGTAATGTACATTGTACTAAATAGAATGGTGTGAACATATAGGAGGGATTAGCTGCATGAATGTAACAAAGCTTTGAAAAACTCTCATTGAATAACATCTGTTTGTGAGAACAACACTTGTGTTGGCTTTTTCAAAGCTTTGTTACAGGTTTGAGGTGGTTTAGTATATTGATTGAAATAAAAATTGTTTATTAAAATGATGGGAAATGATAACCTTGGAATTTTAAAAATATGTTCCTGTGTATGGAAAATACATTATTCTTACTAGATCCAGGAAGATATAATAGGGTAGAAGTGAAATGTTTTAGAATTATATGATATCCACTGTAGCAAATTTGATGACTTTTTATAGGCCATTTAATTGACAGAAATATTATTTTGTTGAAATAATGAAACATTTTGAATTTGTTTATTTGGAGATAAATTGAAATGGTAATTTATTATTCGGGCTCCTAAGTTTACATTTTCAAAGAGGTAATTTGTGTATTTCTGTTGAACGGTATTGAGGTATATTTATTTATGATTGGTAATTTATCAAATAATGTATATAAGTTAAAGGGTATCAAGTTATTGATGATATGTATAGCTCATATGTAGTCAAATATATAAAAAATAGAGGTAATGGGTTGAATAAGCCTTGTTGGTGAAGTTCATAATGAAAATCAGAACATATTTTCTACATTGTATGTATTTAAATGATATTCCATCAAATTTGGAAAAAAAACAACCAAATTTTGTAAGTTTAGGAGCCTCAGATATCAAATACTTGAAACATTTTGCTTTATTATGTTTATTTATGTTTAGAGAAACTTTTGAAATGCCTTTTCATATATGAATTTTGTGGATGAAGTTTAATTTATCAGCAGACTTGTCTCATCCTTTCTACCACTATAGTGTAATAAAACATAATCACAAAGTAGTCACCTATGGTTGCTATAATAGATTAAATATTTGTGTTCCAAATTTTGAATTTAATCCCAACATTGAAACATATATATGGCATAATACAGGATGTCAAATATTGGAGTTTGATAATGATTTTTTGACACAGCTGTATTAAAAACAGGAGTCTGTGCAAATTGGACAAAATCAAACATTTGAGTTCTACTGGCTGTTTTTTGAAAAGTATGGAACAGAGACGTAATTTTTCAGTGCATGGCACACATGAAATGGATCACTATTTCCTAAAAAAAAAGATTAAGCATGTAGTGTTTTTTTACCATGACATGCTTTGCATACCATAACTTTCTGTACTGTTTTCAAGTCCTGTAATGCAGGCGTATATGTCACACACCACTAAATCACATTTTCATGTAGCTGAAGGACTCCTGTCTATTGCCTATCCTGAATAATAGACAACACTTTCAGTTTTTGTGAAAATCATTGCAAAAGTATCAGTTTTTATAAGGATATATAATGCTGCTAACCATATGAATCCAACTAAGGAATGAAGTAAATAAATTTTGGGATAAGGCATTTCAGAAGTTTCGTAAACATTTATGTTTTCTGGTGTTTTGGATATACCTTGCATGCTTGTATCTGTATTTATTTTGCACACTTCCTCTCCTCTCTGCCTGTGTGTAGCTGTGAAATCCATCAGGAAACAACATCTTGCGGAGATCCGAGCACTGCCCAATCCTCCCCCGCTTGTCAAGCTGTCCCTAGAGGCCATCTGTATGCTCCTTGGTGAGCCAGATGTCGACTGGAAGGCAATGAGATCCATTATAATGAGAGACAACTTCATCTCAAGCATTGTCAATTTTAGAACTGATGATTTATCGTAAGTTATCTTAACTCAAGGCTTTTATGTTGAATATGTAAAGAAAAGGTAGATGGAAGTTGAGTAAAATTTGAAATGTAGCATTCCTATTTTCTGTCATTGTAAGGGTAAAGTTTTTATTATACAGCTTTTACATAAAAATTTTGTCATTAAATTGAGACTAATTCATGAGTCAAAGTCCTAATGTGGCAAAGTTTTTACGCAATTCCCTTCAACTTTAACTTATCGGGGGTCTACAGTATATTGAAAGATAAATTAATGGAGTTTTTTTTATCTTCAAAAATTATATATGAGGGATGGATGAAGACTTAAAAAGAATGTATTGACCTTTCGACACAAAAATACTTCCATCTATCTTTAAATCAAATATTGTTATGTATTGAAAACAAAGACTTTTATGGCCTGTGAATTACAGCTGTGAAATCTATCAAGAAGAAGGATCTTGTAGAGATACGATCTATGGGTAATCCACCCCAGGCAGTGAAAACAGCTCTTGAGGCAATTTGTCTCTTGCTTGGGGAGTCTGGTGACTGGAAGGCTGTTCGTGGAATCATTGTTAAGGATGATTTTATTGCAAAAATTGTTGCTCTCAAAACTGATGATATCTCGTAAGTAAATGCTGCTGTAAGGGGCAACACAGAAACATTGTCATTCATATATAAGTTGATGTAATTGAATGTGCTAGAAATTCTTTCATATCAAATAAAGATTTAGTATATGTATACAGTAATCATTTATCTTTTGGAGTCCGCATTTAATGTGAAAGTGTAAAAACAGTAGTGGGAAGTATTCATACATTATATATGACTTTAATTATGTTACAAAATATATAATTTTCACACAATTTATGCTGTTGTAAACATCTTAATAATCATGTTCCACTTATTGTTATGTTTAGTCTTTGTAAAACAATAAAAGGTAAAATAACATTAAATTGTTCTTAAGGTACATATATTTAACTCTGCTTTCCTGAAATTGCAGTGATGATATAAGATCTAAAATGAAGGCCAAGTATTTAAGTAACCCTGATTTCAACTATGAGAAAGTGAACAGAGCTAGTTTGGCTTGTGGTCCTATGGTGAAATGGGCTATTGCTCAGGTAATGATTTGGATTTGTTCAACAATTTAATGAAAATGCTGTTATTATTTGAGGGAAGTGACAATACATGATAGCTTTTTAATCACTTATAGTCTTGCAAAGCCATTAGAAATTAAAAGTATCTTTTGAAGTTTGAAGTCCCATAAGTGCTGATTAGGTCATGTTAATCTGCACAAAAATTTCTTTCTGAAGTATTGTCTTTGCTACTTATTTACCGTAACTATTATAATCTTTAAAACCTCCTTTAATAAATTGTGATTCTTGAATGTTTTATAACATAAACATCGTCAAAAAAAATAAAAAAAATTGTATTTCAAAAATCTTGTATAATGTATATTGTAGATCAACTATGCTGACATGTTGAAACGTGTGGAGCCTCTCCGTAATGAGTTATTGGCCCTTGAATCTCAGGCCAATGAGAACAAGTTGAAAGGTGACGATGTAATGAAGCTGATAGCTGACCTAGAGAGAAGTATTGCCAAATACAAGGAGGAGTATGCCTTACTTATCAGTCAGGCCCAGGCCATCAAGACAGATCTAAATGCTGTAGAACTAAAGGTATTCCATTTTGAAATCATTGTTAAAAACAGGCCTTTTAATTTTTGTACACAAAATAGTTTATCTTGATGTTTTTGCTGTTTTATGTTCAAGCCATGACAACTTTACTGTTTTATCAATGTAGAGGGAGATCACTGATAACCCCTTCTATATTATTTCTGGCTTGAGGGACATTTCTGTTGAACCTTACATTCTTAAAAATAACTTCTTTACGTGTAAGATTTCATCTTGTTTTGTTAGACAGAACAGTTAGATTCTAGATATAAAACATGACTGTTATACTTGAATTACAGGTTGAACGTAGTGTTGCCCTTCTTGAGTCATTGACTAGTGAGAAGGTAAGATGGGAGGCTGGAAGTGAGACATTCAAGAACCAAATGGCCACAATCATTGGAGATGTCCTCATTTCATCTGCATTTATGGCATATGCTGGTATGTCACTTTAAACAATCTATCATATGATTCCAAATGTTTATATCCAAGTTTAAAGGCTTGAACTTTTAAACTATACTTGCTTAATTTCATATGTAAAATTAACATTTTAGTGCAGTTGTTAACTGGTACAATATTGAATTTTTATACAAGATTCCACATGCAAAAATATAATGACCGTTTCTTGTTAAAGTGATTTCCATTAACTAGCCTACAAACTAAATTCTTGTCCAAGTGCTCATCTTTTCAGGCTAGCCAGAATTTATACAGATAGAATAGGCATGTCCTTACTACTGCTAGTGCTCAGATTTTAAAAATGTTATATAATATGATAATATAGGCTATAACTTACATTTGGTATAATATATCACAGGCTACTTTGATCAGAAGATGAGAAGAAACCTGTTCTCTACTTGGTCCAATCATCTACAGAAGGCCTCCATACAGTTCAGAAATGACCTGGCTAGGACTGAAGTAAGTATGGTTTAAATTTATACTCGGAACTATACTATGATATATAATTTAATTTTAATGATGTTATGAAGTAGTATTTTGTGATCTTATTTACCTTACTGAATTTGTATAATGAACTGAATAGGGAAAGCATCAGACTTGTAATCAAGAGGTCACCGGTTTGATCCTCAGATGCGGCTAAATTTCTTTGTGATGAGTGATCTCACATATTATTATTTGAGTATAACTATCATTTGTCTCTCACTGCTGATTCAGAAATCATGTGCAATTAGTTAATGTTTGTCACTTGTGGACAAATTTGTGTTTGCTTGTTAGTTATCTAGTAAAGCTGGTTATGTGGACAGTCTGCCAAGATTTGACCAAATTGTGTTAAAATTGCCATAAAACCCAAACATACCCAAACTTTCTTATGTTTAGTTAATTAATTTTGATATCAAAATAACAAAATGGAGAAGCAAGCAGAATGGGCTCTGAGTCTAGGTTTTAAAATCCTTTGAGTTTTTACCCCATAATATAATGTTTATTATTTTGAAATAAATGTTAAATGATGTGAATTGATATTTGTGTTTAATTTGTTACTTGTTTTAATATTAACTTGATCTACTATCACAGTATCTGTCTAATGCTGATGAACGTTTGAGATGGCAAGCTAATGCACTACCAGCTGATGATCTGTGTACAGAGAATGCCATTATGTTGAAGAGATTTAATAGATACCCACTGATCATTGATCCCTCTGGTCAGGCTACAACCTTCATCTGTAATGAATACAGGGAGAAGAAGATTACCAGAACAAGGTAATAATTCTCTTAATAAGTTAAATTTATATGTACATATTTTTATCCTCTATTAAATGCATACATTCTTACGCTTCTATTTGTAACAATTACTGTGGTAATAAAATAGTCTGTGTACTAGAATTGAAATATTATTAAATGTTTATCTTTCAACATTTCAAAATTTCAGTTTCCTGGATGATTCATTCCGTAAGAATTTAGAAAGTGCATTGCGATTTGGTAATCCATTGCTGGTACAAGATGTAGAAAGTTATGATCCAATATTGAACCCTGTACTGAATCGTGAATTGAGGCGTACTGGAGGTCGTGTGTTGATCACCCTCGGAGACCAGGATATTGACTTGTCACCATCATTCACTATCTTCCTGTCTACCAGGGATCCAAATGTAAGTGATACATCTGAATACAACATGCAATTACCAAGTTAACATCGCTATAGTAAACTTGTATCATACACATGCATTACTAATATTTATTTATTTCTTATCCATGGAAAACTATTTTGGGATATATTTTCAAATCACTTTTAGATATTTTGACAATGTTTCAGGTTGAGTTCCCACCAGATCTTTGTTCAAGGGTGACCTTTGTCAACTTTACAGTGACAAGAAGCAGTTTACAGGATCAGTGTTTGAACCAGGTTTGTTTAATTTCTTGTACCAAGCTTTCCAGGTATTAACTGTTATTGTACAATAGACATATAGGATTATAACTTGTCATAAAATAATTATGCCCCCATTTCGAAGAAAAGGGGGTATATTGCTTTGCACTTGTCGGTCCGTCGGTCCGTCGGTCCGTCGGTCCGTAGACCAAATGGTTTCCGAGTGATAACTAAAGAACCCTTAGGCCTAGGAACTTCAAACTTAGTATGATGATTGGTCATGACCAGTAGATGACCCCTATTGATTTTGGGGTCAAGGGGTCAAAGGTCAAGGTCATATTGACCTTGTAAGCAAAAACGGTTTCCGATCAATAACTAAAGAACCTTAAGGCCTAGGAACTTCAAACTTGGTATGATGATTGGTCATGATCAGTAGATGACCCCTATTGATTTTGGGGTCAAGGGGTCAAAGGTCAAGGTCACATTGACCTTGTAAGCAAAAACGGTTTCCGATCAATAACGAAAGAACCTTAAGGCCTAGGAACTTCAAACTTGGTATGGTGATTGGTCATGATCAGTAGATGATCCCTATTGATTTTGGGGTCAAGGGGTCAAAGGTCAAGGTCACATTGACCTTGTAAGCAATAACGGTTTCCGATCAATAACTAAAGAAGTTTAAGGCCTAGGAACTTCAAACTTGGTATGGTGGTTGGTCAAGATCAGTAGATGACCCCTATTGATTTTGGGGTCAAGGGGTCAAAGGTCAAGGTCACATTGACCTCTTGGGTAAAAACGGTTTCTGATCAATAACAAAAGAATCCTTGAGGCCTAGGAACTTCAAACTTGGTATGGTGATTGGTCATGACCAGCAGATGACCCTATTGATTTTGGGGTTAAGGGTCAAAGGTCAAGGTCACATTGACCTTGTAAGTAAAAAACGATTTCCGATCAATAACGAAAGAACCCTTAGGCCTAGGAACTTCAAACTTGGTATGGTGATTGGTCATGACCAGCAGATGACCCCTATTGATTTTGGGGTTAAGGGGTCAAAGGTCAAGGTCACATTGACTTTGTAGGTAAAAACGGTTTCCGATCAATAACGAAAGAACCCTTAGGCGTAAGGACTTCAAACTTTATATGGTGATTGGTCATGATCAGTAGATGACCCCTATTGATTTTGGGGTCAAGGGGTCAAAGGTCAAGGTCACATTGACCTCTTAGTTAAAAACAGTTTCCGATCAATAACTAAAGAACCCTTAGGCCTAGGAACTTCAAACTTGGTATGGTGATTTGTCATGACCAGTAGATGACCCCTATTGATATTGGGGTTAAGGGGTCAAAGGGCAAGGTCACATTGACCTTGTAGGTAAAAATGCTTTCAAATCAAAAACTTAAGAACCTTTTGGCCTAGGAACTTCAAACATGGTATGGTGATTGGTCATGACCAGCAGATGACCTATTGATTTTGGGGTCAAGGGGTCAAAGGTCAAGGTCACATTGACCTTGTAAGCAATAACGGTTTCCGATCAATAACTAAAGAAGTTTAAGGCCTAGGAACTTCAAACTTGGTATGGTGATTGGTCATGACCAGCAGATGACCCCTATTGATTTTGGGGTTAAGGGGTCAAAGGTCAAGGTCACATTGACCTTGTAAGTAAAAACGATTTCCGATCAATAACGAAAGAACCCTTAGGCCTAGGAACTTCAAACTTGGTATGGTGATTGGTCATGACCAGCAGATGACCCCTATTGATTTTGGGGTTAAGGGGTCAAAGGTCAAGGTCACATTGACTTTGTAGGTAAAAACGGTTTCCGATCAATAACGAAAGAACCCTTAGGCGTAAGGACTTCAAACTTTATATGGTGATTGGTCATGATCAGTAGAATGACCCCTATTGATTTTGGGGTCAAGGGGTCAAAGGTCAAGGTCACATTGACCTCTTAGTTAAAAACAGTTTCCGATCAATAACTAAAGAACCCTTAGGCCTAGGAACTTCAAACTTGGTATGGTGATTTGTCATGACCAGTAGATGACCCCTATTGATATTGGGGATAAGGGGTCAAAGGGCAAGGTCACATTGACCTTGTAGGTAAAAATGCTTTCAAATCAAAAACTTAAGAACCTTTTGGCCTAGGAACTTCAAACATGGTATGGTGATTGGTCATGACCAGCAGATGACCTATTGATTTTGGGGTCAAGGGGTCAAAGGTCAAGGTCACATTGACCTTGTATGTTAAAACGGTTTCCGATCAATTAACTAAAAACACTTAGGCCTAGGAACTTCAAACTTTGTATGATGATTGGTCGTGACCAGCAGATGACCCCTATTGAGTTTTGGGTCAAGGAGTCAAAGGTTAAGGTCATGACCAGTAGATACTTGATAACCCTTATTAATTGTTTGATCACTGGGTCAGAAGTCATGCATAATAACCTTATCACATGACTAATTGGCTGCTGATAGGGGGCATTCATGTTTTACAAACATATCTTGTTGCTATACATATTGAAAATTTAACGTATATTCATTTATGGTCAAAAAAGATTAAGAACAAGTCTTGATCAGTGATTGGATTTACCAAAAAATATGTGGACAGACTAACTTGCAAAATTTCTCAATATTTAGGTATTGAAGTCTGAGAGACCCGATGTTGATGAGAAGAGATCTGACCTGCTCAAACTACAGGGCGAGTTCCAGGTTAGACTACGACAGCTTGAGAAGTCATTGCTGCAAGCCCTTAATGAGGTGAAAGGTCGTATCCTTGACGATGACAGTATCATTACTCACCTTGAGACATTGAAGAAAGAGGCAGCAGAAGTTGCACGTAAGATGGAGGAGACAGACGTTATCATGGCTGAAGTTGAGACAACATCACAACAATATCTGCCACTGGCTATGTCCTGTAGTAGTATATACTTCACACTGGAGGCTTTGAAACAGGTACATCTGAATTAGAATGAAGTATAATATGTTTTAATTATGATGTTTTCCAGATACTTGTCAAAAATTGGCCTTTTGACTGCAGGAATTCATTATGGTCTGTTGGGCCCAAGCAAGGGTTAAAAGTCACCATTTATATTGCATTTGTGAACACTACATATAGTACATGTGATTTGTTGAAAATTACTTCAAATGATATAAGACAAACGGTAAATTTCAACATTATAACATTTATTGGATTCTTTAATGTCATTGACCACAAAAGTTTTGAAGTAAATTTATTAGCTTTGTATGACAATTTTTGGTATGGGCCGCATGCTTGTACCTCGAATCTGTGACTATGTGACAACCATTGTACAATATGTATGTTTTGATTTTAGGTTCACTTCCTGTATCAGTACTCACTGCAGTTTTTCTTGGAGATATTCCACTCTGTCCTCGCCAGTCCCAAACTGAATGGTATCAAAGAGTATACTCAAAGACTGGCAGTTATTACATCAGAATTGTTCCAGGTAAAATATCTTGCATTGCTTTTATAATAATAATATAATAATAATTGCATTTTATAGTCTAAGTTTCATGCTTACGCACGTTCACCGACTTTACAGCTATTACCCCTGGTCATCGGGCTACTGGTATCTATCTATCAATCTCCCTGGGGAGTCTTTTAACTCCGCTTAGTGCAGCCGACACTTTGGCGCAACGGATTTATACCACCCTCGCAGGTACCCATTTACACCTGGGTGAAGTGAAGCAATCGCAGGTAAATTTCTTGCTCAAGGAAATTAGCAGTGCCCCTAGTGGGGTTCGAACCTGGGACCTCTTGATCCCTAAGTGCGCGTCCTACCACTGGACTACTGCTCCTTTTCTCAATCGATAATTTCTATGATATTAAATGTTACCATCAGTTCATAATAAGATGATTCATGAGTAGGTATTTCATAATTAGCTCGACTATTCGAAGAATATGAGAGCTATTGTAGTCGCCCCGGCGTCGGCGTCGGCGTCGGCGTCAGCGTCCGCGTCGGCGTCTGCGTTGGTTAAAGTTTTTTGTAAAGTCAAATATCTCAATTATTACTTGAGATATTCAATTGAAACTTACAATACTTATTTATAGTAACAATGTACATCAGATTGACAAGTTGGATAACTCTGCCTACAATATTGACAGAATTATGCCCCTTTTTAACTTAGAAATTTTGGTTAAAGTTTTTTGTAAAGTCAAATATCTCAATTATTGCTTGACATATTCAATTCAAACTTACAATACTTATTTATAGTAACAAGGTTCATCAGATTGACAAGTTGGATAACTCTGCCTACAATATTGACAGAATCATGCCCCTTTTTAACTTAGAAATTGTGGTTAAAGTTTTTTTGTAAAGTCAAATATCTCAATTATTGCTTGAGATATTCAATTGAAATTTAAAATACTTTTTTATAGTAACAAAGTACATCAGTTTGCAAAATTGCATAACTCTGCCTGCGATATTTGCAGAATTATTTGCCCCTTTGAAACTTAAAAATTTTGGTTAAAGGTCTTCAAAGATATTTACTTGAAACTTTACACATGCACTTAGGGTCATAATTGGAGGGTCATAATTGTATGTCACTGACCAAGTTCCATAACTCTATCTTGCATTAAGGCTGATTCATATCCCCTTTTCTACTTAGTCTCTTGGTTAATGTTTACATGCAAGTTTTACATATCTCAATAACTATTTAAGATATTTATTTAAAACTTCACATATGCATTTAGGGTCATAATTGTAGGTCACTGACAAAAATCCATAATTCTATCTTGCATTTAGACTGATTTTTCTCCCCTTTTTCAACTTAGAAATTCATGGTAAAGTTTTGCTTGTTAGCTGTTATCTCCATAACTACTGAAGAGTTTGTGCCTTTTTTGGGACAATTTTATGCATTCATAATAATAAAGCAGTGATTTACTTGATAAAACATCTTAATAACAAGCCTTTGTACCTTTTCTGTCAAATTTATGTATTCATAGGTCATTAGTATTATTATACTCAATAAAACACCCTTGTGACATTACCTTCCGAATAGTCAAGCCAATACTGTATAATTAGACTCACTCTAAGGCCTATAACATGAATTTATAAAAAAAATTAGCCCTTTTGTGAACTTAAAAAATTCAACATTATCAAGGCTCTTTTACTATCAAGCACTTAGAATAGTCGAGCGTGCTGTCCTACAGACAGCTCTTGTTAAGAATATGTTGTGAGCCATTTACAAAGTTTATTTAAGTTGTTTTGCTAAGGAAATTTAACAATTTTCTGTAATAAAAGGGTTTTAAGTATTTGCAATTGGTTCATATTCTTTAGATTTATTATGAGAAAGGTTATTTAAATAAATATTTTTGTATGTTTTATTTACAGGAGACATACAGTCGTGTAGGTAGAGGCATGTTACATGAGGACAGGATTACATTTGCTATACAATTGTGTAGGATACATCTTAAGGGCATGCAGGGGTAAGAAATCACATGTGATTTACATATCCTGGAGATTAAATCAAGATTGTTAAATTTCTGTTTCTGATAAGTACTTCAATGTTAGTTTTAGATTTTCAGAATTAAAATCTAATTTCACGTCTTATATAACGCCAGTTAGCTGTGTGTTTGTACAAGTATTTTGTTAATTTCAGTGAGTCAACATATGATGGTGAGTTCCATCAGTTCTTAAGGAGTCAGGAAGGACTTATCTCATCTAAACCTCCACCAGCTATCCAGGGCTTGACACAGCAACAGGTATATAATGATATAATATAGTCTATAGCATTAATGGCAAGTAAAAAAAATACAGTAGATAAATATATACTGGAGGTTCTAGTAATGTTAGTTTGTAAATAATGGAAAGAATTAAAATCTGAATGCTAATGTTTTTAGATGTTACAGAATAAATTACAAAATTGCACAGATAGTATCTCTTGGACAGAATAATTTACTTCAGCTTAGACATTGTTATATTCCTGTTATGGTGTTCTAAAGTCAGAGAAAAATATCTGAACATCAAGACAACAGTATGTTATCTGGAACTTGTTAAATGTTGGTTAAATGTTGGTTTTCCCCATATAAGCCAGGGTAAAGAACAATCTTTTAGCTTTATATTGCACTACAGTTCACAATAAAGTGCTCAAAGTATTTTACTTAATTTCAATATGTTTACCATTAATAAGTGCAACATTAAGAAGTTGTAATCTTTAAAGTTTGTTTGTACATCTGGATTAGCTGAGAAATTCCCAAATGTTTTTAATTGTGGAGTAACTCTATTCAATGTGAACTAGTGTTGATAAGAATTCCTGTTGAACATGTTTGATGGTAAATTTGTATAATAATTAATGGATTTGAACTCAAAATTTTTAACAACATTATTGCCCTCAATATTTATTGTTTCTATAATCTGATAATTGATTTTCTAGGTCGAGTCCCTAGTTAGACTGAGTCAGTTGAGACAATTTAAGAAGATTGTTGATGAAGTGAAAGGAAATGTTGTAAGTTTGCAAATAACAGTCACTTTCTGTTCTTTATCTTTCCTGTACTGTAATCTTTACAAAAAGTATGTGTCTTTAAATAAGATCTTTAAATACTAGTTATAACAATTTTTTATGCCGGCCAGTTTGTTCAATCATTTTCACTTTCATTTTTAATTTGCCTTCGAAAAAAGATACTGTTCTTGAAGGAAATACCAATAAGTTTGGAGCTGAGTTATTTTATTATAATTTACATGTTAACCTGGATTTTCCTTTATTAAAATTATTTATCTGTTACTTTTTGTGAAATGCAGAAGAAAAAGAAGGTATTGCATGTGTTGTTGTGTGTACAGAGGTGTACTTACTATTGTTTGTTTATGTGGGAACATATGTATGTTCATTAATTATGTGTCTCAAAATAGAACAAAATGTGCCAAAAATTATTGACATGTAAGTAAAAAGGATATACACTTGCCATTATCACATCAGTTGTTTATGCTGTATAGATTTAGTCAAATTGTTATATAATTGATATAAACCTCTCACAACTGAAATGACTGATGCACTTTTTATGTTTTTGTTTTGTTTTTTTTTGTAATAAAGGAGATCCAAGCATGGTTGGAGAGTGATTATGCTGAGACAAATATACCAGAGATCTGGGATTCTGATAAACCATTAAGTAAGTAATTTATAGTGCCTCATTAGTTTATAGCACATACAGCCATATTTTCTCTACTGTGTTGGTGTGACATAAAACCCAACCAAAACAAAAACATATATTTTGTCACATATTTGTTTAAACAAGAATCACAGAAAACATGATTTCTAGCTTTCCTTACAGATATTTTGAATACTTTAAAGTTTAAGAAAAATCATGCTAGGATGTTTTAATGGATTGTAAATGTTTTATGTTTCAGGTGATATAGGGAAGGCAGTTAATGGTTTATTGGTTGTTCAAGCAATGAGACCGGATAGACTAACATCAATGGCTAGACTCTTTGTAGAGAAAGTGCTGGGTACAAGTTTTGCACACATTGCAGATAAGGAACTTGATCTTGCTGAAATTGTTGAATCTGAGGTAAAACATATGACCATATATATGTATATATATTATCAGAATCATCAAAAAATCATTTGTACATCCCTGATTCTATTGTTTGGCCTTAGTGTTTTTACAGTGGTCTGTAATTTTAATGGTCATGATGATATCTATTACGATGGTATTTTTACAGAATAACTTCATATAACTTATTTTGAAAAAGGTGTATATAATACTGTGCTAGTAACTGATATTACTATTTTTGTCATTCCTATAAACTTGTAATGGTATTATGTGTAATATGTAAGAAATTTATTTCAGTTGAAGGCCAGTACACCAGTGTTGATGTGCTCACTACCAGGATATGATGCTAGTAGCAGAGTAGATGACCTGGCTACAGAGCTAGGCAAACAGATTACTTCCATTGCTATTGGTAAGTTCATTGACACATAGTTTAAAATAAACTGATTCTGTCTGGAAGAAAGATTGCAGCTTAAGACAAGCTGACCTTTACAAATTCAAATATGTTTACTTTCAATTGGCCTAAAATGCATAAACTCATTGTTATATAAGAATTCATTGGTAATGAACTTACAGAATTGAAACAGAATTTACAGAATTGAAACATGCCTCATATTGTTATTTAAAGGTTCTGCCGAAGGATTCACACAAGCAGATAAGGTGATCAACTCTTCTAGTAAGTCAGGTCGATGGGTCATGCTGAAGAATGTACACCTTGCACCACAGTGGTTGGTACAGCTGGAGAAGAAGTTGCACAACTTAACTCCACATCCAAGCTTCAGACTTTTCCTTACTATGGAAATCAATCCAAAGGTAATTAAAACATAAAATACATGTACTTGCTTTTCAATTTCTGTTTATTTGTTCTGTTGTTATTTGTATTTTAAAATCAATAACAAGTTTCCCTTATATGGAATATTTCTTTAATTGTTGATAAGTAACTGTATGAAGATTTTTTTTGCAGATTTGTAAATAAATATGAATCAATGCTTATTATGTTCCATATTTCAGTTACCAACAAACTTACTCCGTGCTGGTAGAGTGTTTACATTTGAACCTCCACCTGGTGTGTCAGCCAACTTACTGAGAACATTCAGTACTATACCCGCCACCAGAATGTGCCGAGTTAGTATTTATGATAGTAAATTAGGGGAATTATCAATATTTATAACAACAAAATAGGGAAATTATTTAAATATTAACTTTCTATTTTAAAAGTTAAACTCTTTTGAGTGTGGCTTTCTTGATGTTGTTAATTTCTATCAGAAATGGTGAAATAAACAAGTTTGAATCAGCCTTGTTCTTCATGCACAGCTATTGAGCTATTGATTTAGTTTAATTAAATCTTGCACTAAAAATAACTTGTTGGGGAAAACACTTTAAAGATGATGAACACCTTGTTGAACTTTTGTCTTTAACCACTATTTTACGTGTATAAGTGTCTCATAATTAAAAGATTGTAAACGACTTTCTAGGAACCAAATGAGAGATCAAGGTTATATTTCCTGTTGGCCTGGTTCCATGCTATTGTACAAGAAAGGATGAGGTACATGCCTCTTGGTTGGGCCAAGAAATACGAGTTTACTGAATCCGACCTGAAAGTTGCTTGTGACATGCTTGATACGTGGATTGATTCAGTTGCTATGGTAATTTTCCATTCATTATATATGCATGCTCAGTATTGCATGAGATGCCTCATGGCCTCAGCTTCTTATGTTTATAACATTGAATAAATTGCCTTTCATTGTATTTCTTTTAAATTGTTTCCTCTTCTGTTTGTCTCACTTTTAGTAGCAAGTTCTCATGCCACATAGTTACCAATTAGTCATGAAATGGAGTTTTCATTCAAAAATAAAATGAAAAATCACAACAGTATTATTCAGAAACAATATTATTCAGATAGATTTTGTTTTTTGTTGTTGTTTTTTATATACATACGGAACTGTTTTTTATATACATATGGAACTGACTGTGTTATTTACATATTTATATGTTGATTATATATTGTAGGGAAGAACAAACTTGCCCCCAGAGAAGGTGCCCTGGGATGCTGTGAGGACTTTATTGGCACAGTGTATCTATGGAGGAAAGATTGATAATAACTTCGATCAGGTAATCTAGGAAATGACTTCTTTTTCTTTTAAAAAATTAACATTTTCTTGCCAAGTTTTAATCGTAGGTATTTAATTATTTAATTTCGATCATATGTATTTTGTTGACCATTACAAGCAGTTTATGTAATTTGTAAATTTGATTTCTCTATATTACAGAGACTTTTGACAAGCTTTGTACACAAGCTGTTCACACCAAGGAGTTTTGAGGGAGACTTTACTCTTGTACCTAACATGGATGGTCCTGGTAAAAAGATTGTCATGCCTGACAGCATAAGGTTAGGAATATACTTAATATAATAGAAATAACTTAAACAGATTTGTCCATCTTTCAATCTTGACAAAATCATTAATCAATTTTAGAAAAAGTGTTTCATAGACAATAAGTTCTGATTGCTTAGCAACAGTGCAAACCAAGGTCAGATGACATAAACTAATGCTTGTCTGCTCTGGGCTCATAGGTAGATTCAATGCCAACAGACTTGAAGCAGCATGCCTACAGATTCATGCTAATTGCCATGAAAATTTTGAAAATGTATTTAAAAGTAAAATATTGTAAACTGAATCACACATTGCAAATGAAGCTTATAATTCATATAAATTATGAAAAAGATGTCAAAATATGTAAAAATAGTCCTTACTGTGTTAGTCAACATAAATATGGTGATACATACTGCAAAATCACACGTAAATCACACTTAACATGTAAATCATTACTTGAATCTTTTTAATTTTCTTCAAATCCTAGTACATTTATCTCAAGCCTAATTTTTCATGGAATATTTTGACACATCTGGAGGCAAGTTTTAAGGTAAAGTAACATATTGTTAATTATTTTTTGGGTTAAGTCAAAATCAGAATAAGTTTATTATAAGATAGTAATTTGTACGAAAAGGAATTTGTATGAGTATCATCTGATACAGCTTTACTGAAAAGATTCATTAAAAAAAGCTAAATTGATGATGTGCTATATAAAATGTTTTAGACGAGAGGAGTTTGTGAAGTTTTCTGAGAATCTGGATGGTGACAGACAGACACCAGCTTGGCTTGGTCTGCCTAACAATGCAGAGAAAGTTCTTCTCACCAACCAGGGTTCAGATATGTGTGCTAAACTTATGAAGGTAAGTGTTGAAAAATGCAGAGAACACTGAAAAAATCCTTATATAAATTCTATAGGTAGTTTCTAATTGAAAGTATTTCAACTAAAGTTAAATTGAAAAAATGTTTACTTGTTATGTTGATGAACAAAACTATCATAATTATAATAGATTGTGCTCAACTCTGCTGATATTAATGTGAAGTGGTAAAGATTGTCATTTACCCCTTAGTACTGCTGATTGAATTCCTGCTAGGGACTTCATAATCAATTATGTGAGAAAGCAATGCAGCAAACATATTGAAATAGAAGATGCTAAGAATTAGTTTGCATATACATTGATGGGCTTCCTTTACCATATAGCTTGCAAAAATGTTTGTTTTTTTGGGGGGCACTAAAACATGAACAAAAAGAAAAAGATGTAACAATGTTATTATGAAGGTTGTATATCAAATTTTATGGTAGCTTGAACTAGCTTGTACTAATGTAATTTGACGATATACAGGTTGAGTTATTGGAAGATGATGTAGATGTTGATGAGATAGACATAGAAGATGATACAGAAAAAGCCATGGTTGATGGACGACCTGCATGGATGAGAACTCTACACTCATCTGTTAAAACATGGCTAGATCTTGTTCCTAAGGTAACATCATTCAAATTCTTGATATTTTGTATAATATTTCACTTTTAATATTTGCAACATACATGTAGTTAACATTTTTCTTGCATACTAAAAGTTTTGTCTTATGATAATTCTTATTTACTAATTGCACACATATGTAGAACAGTGCATGTAGTGTTTTTACCTAATATTGTCATGTTTGTTAACCAGTTAATATTTGTAGCTTTCTCTCTTTTTATCTTTATACCCTTGTCTCTATCATCTTATTCTATATTATAACAACAAGACACAACAATAGTTTTATAACATAATAGTTTACATATAAAGATCTTATGAATTCAACAAAGTTTCAGGCACATTTAAGACTTTTAGAATAATAAATGGATATGTTTCCTTACAATTTTTATATCAATATTCAGAATTGCATGTACATTTTTTTTTATCTGTCTAAGAACTTGCATTCATATCAGTATGGAAATTTATGGAATAATTTTAGGCTAAAACATGTTTGAATTAGGGATTTCAGGATTCTCATATCTCATTACTAACCTTGCCATGTTTGTCACTTACCAGGGTTATGAAGATGTTGTAAGTACTAGTATAATTTTGATATGGTAAATGTATCTCCCACCCAGTCCATTTTCCAGACAGGGATTCAGATCCTTACCCCAGCCCTAGTCATTGACGGGAAATATGTGGTCATATTGTAAGGGTTAGAGGAAAAATTCAGTTTGGTTGATTTTGTCTGCTTCAATGCTTTACTTGATTTTTATGCTTTTTAAATATTCATGGTATTTTTATACAAGTTAATGTCTTAGCAGGTAAGTTATTTAAATGTCATAATATCTGTCATTTTTATGTTCACATGGACAATGTCTTTCTTGAAGTCTCATTTTGACAAATAATAGATGTAGCATTCCTTATGTTAACACACATGTCATAACATTCCATCCTTACACAATAAAACCTAATTTGTACATACTCATAAAGGTAAGTTTGTCTGTATTTAATAATGATATTTTGTGTGTTTTTATGACCACCATTAATTTATAATTTGTAAATAACATTTAAGGTAACTGTTAATTAAGAAGAATGGCATTTACAAATGGATTTCTTTATTAAGTTAAATCTGATTTTACTTCTATTAGATTTTGAATCACTTACATGTATCTCTGTGGGTTTTGAGGCCCACCATTTTAACTAATGACAAATGATCCAAAAATAAATAAGAAAAAAGTTTTAATATTGTAAAAAAAATTAAGATTTATCAAACTTAGTTTGACTATGCATGTATTTTAAATGTGTACTGTAAATATAGATAAGTTGATTTCATCATTGTGAATAGTATTGTAATATATAGAGAGTATCAGTTACCAGTAAAGCTGAGTGTATTTTGTTTGACAGATGTTTGTACTAATAATTTCAGGCTGTTGGAGCAATGAAGCGAACCATGGAGAACATAAAGGACCCACTTTTCCGCTTCTTTGAGCGTGAGGTGAATGCTGGGGCTAAACTACTGTATGATGTTAGACGTGATCTACAAGATGTTCTACAAGTGTGTGTCGGTTCTAAAAAACCAACTAACCATCATAGAACTATGATGGCTGATCTAGCTAAAGGTAAGGCAATATGAGCCGTTTCATGACAAAACCAACGTAATGCGTTCGCGACCAGCATGGATCCAGACCAGCCTGCGCATCCGTGCAGTCTGGTCTGGATCCATGCTGGTCGCAAAGGATTATGTTGGTTTTGTCATTGCACGGCTCATATAAACTTCAATCTCATTTTCCTAGAATATACAAAGAATGTAAACGTTTGTCAAGGAGCATTTTAAAAGTAGATCATATGATTGATTTATTTATATTACAATATATCAATATAAGTAGTTGCAATAAAGTACATGTATAATCATCTGTTGTCATGTATTAACATTTTGTTTTTAAATGTTGCAGTGTTATATACTTATATGCAGCAAAATTTTAATTTGGTGCAGCAAAATTTTGATTTGGTATTAAAATAAACAATATGAAACCGGTTTGGATTATTGATAAAAAATGCTGTTTTTGAGAAACATGTAACAAGTGCAACAAAGAATAAATCAATAAAAATATATAATGATATGATTCTGCAGTTTGATGTTAAAATACACATATAAGAGAAATAAGTAATAGAAAGAGCACCGAAACACGAGGTTATCTGATTTGTACGAGGGGGCGTAGCCCCCCGAGTATTAATCAGATTACCGAGTGTTTTGGTGTTCTTTCTCTTTTGTATCATAGTCAAACATAAAAACACGTTCCCTGTTGTTACAATATGAAACCCCGGCAAAAATGAACCAATGAACGAGCATCTAAATATGACATTTCTGTCGATTTCACTTTCACTGCCGTCACAATATGTAAACCCCAGCAAAAACGAACCAATCAATGGGCATGCTCTGGAGTGCGGGTAACTAATACCCGCACTCCAGTTAACGCACTGTGCATGTATATGTATACGATTTAACCCTGACACATTTTCAACAGAAAGGTCTCCAAACTATGATACAATGTATATATTCAGGTATGATCCCACAGACATGGAGGAGATACACTATACCAGCTGCTATCACTGTTATACAATGGATCACTGACTTCAGTCAGAGAATTAAACAGTTACAGAATGTTGTACAAGTTACACAACAAGGAGGAGCTAAAGAACTTAAGGTAACTCCTTTCAAATATACTTTATCTATGTTGATTGACTGCATTATGTCTAGTGCCATTTGTCCTCCATAGGTATTTTAACAGACTCTTGTTGAGTAAAATAAAGATGGTTGAAAACAAAATCAAAATGTTGATCTATAATCACACAAAGGTTACATTTATTTAATAATTAGTAATATCATTCATAATACTAATAAAACAAAACAAATACACATGTTCTTGTTTATCATTTTTGTAAAATTATTGATGAAATTACTGATACAGTATTTGAAATTCATTGTTTGATAGTTAAATGTATTGAAATGTTTTAGAATCTACAAGTATGGCTTGGTGGACTGTTTATCTCGGAGGCTTACATCACTGCAACAAGACAATATGTGGCCCAGGCCAACAGCTGGTCACTTGAGGAGCTGTACCTAGATGTATGTTCACCATTCTTGTTCATCCTCTGCTTTATAATAACATGTATCTAATCTATCCAATATAATATATGAAAATAAAGTATATTATTAGTCCCCTACCGGTTTTACCGGAGGGGACTTTAGGTTTACCCTCCGTCCGTCTGTCCGTCTGTCTGTCTGTCTGTCTGTCTGTCAGTCCGTCCGTCCACAAAACTGGATCCCGCGATAACGCAAAAAGTACTGAAAATATTTTTATGAAACTTGATATATGGATAGATGGCAGTATGGAGATTATGCACGTCTTTTTTTTTTCTTCCTATGTTGAAAATTCTGGTTGCTATGGCAACAAATAGTCTGAAAATATGGCAAATTTAACACATAAACTGGATCCAGTGATAACTCAAAAAGTACTGAAAATATTTTTATGAAACTTGAAATATGTGTAGATGGCAGTCTTGAGATTATGCACATCTTTTTCTTTTCTTCCTATGTTGAAAATTCTGGTTGCTATGGCAACAAATAGCCTGAATTTCAAGATTTCTGATTTAAATTTTCAGCTTTTTCACTATATGTTCTTTATTTCTTAAGGTGTTTACTTCAAACTTTAAATATAAGTTTCTGGTCATCAACCACATCATATGTGACAAGGTTTATAACTCTAGCACAAAAAATATCAGTATTACCTCCCTTGAACTTAGATTTTTTAGGGGAAAAAATGTTGTCTTTTTTAAATAACTTCTTTATTTCCTAATGTATCTACTTCAAACTTCATATATATGTTTCTTATTATCACTCGACATTTTTGAGAAGGTTAAATACTCTAGCAAGACTATTTCCAGAATTATGTCCCCCTTGAACTTAGATTTTTTTCGAGAAACTGGTATTTTCACTCCAACTTCTTCATTCCTTATAGGATTTACTTTAAAATCCCACATCGTAATAATATGACAAGGTTGTATAAACATAATTTCCTTACTAAGCATGGAAACTTAACACATTACTGTGATATAGACAAACTTATTTTATTATGTTTTGTGGTTGATATTTTCAAATACAGACTTCATCCTCAAATTCATTATAAATGGCAATACACAGGAGTGTATGACAATTAAAGAACTTTTTGAGGGACCGGTAGGGGACTACTGTATTGCCCGCAATACTATCAAATGCTTGTTTACCAAACTATCTAAGTTGCTTTCAGTAGATAATGTATACATATGTTGTTATTTGGCAACCATATCAGGTAATGGGTAATTGTAGTGTTTTAGTCTGTCATATGACTGGAAATAAAGTCGGTGAGATAATAAGAATGCTGGTACAAACCAGAATTTATGCTAGGATAAATTATGAAGATAATAAAGCTCCATCAAGTTCCTATTGTACACTTACACTGGAGCCAAATATTTCCACCGATGACGTCAGTCAAGGCTTGTGTGTTGGATATCAATAATAGTCCAAGAACTTACAAAAGCCTAAATAAACACTTTTTAGCTGACTTATATTTGAAATTGTTTAAAAGGTAAAGCTGTCTTACTCGGTCTGTGTCAAAGTTTTGATAAGGTTTTCATACCACCGCACATTTCTCTGTATTCTTTGAGGTATTGTTTTAATGCACTGTGTATAATTATTAATTACAGGTGAAGGTGACTGATGGGAAATCTGGAGCTCTGGACGCTTGCAGTTTTAGTGTGACTGGTCTACGTCTGCAGGGAGCTGTGTGTAAAAATAATACATTACAACTCTCCTCAAAGATATCCACTGATTTACCACTCACACTTCTCAGATGGATCAAGTATGTGTTCCTTTGTGTCTTAAAGGCTGTAGAATTACCAAAGTAATTTGTTAGACAAATACATAAATGTGTAGGTACACATGGTTAGGTACACATGGTTAGGTACACATGGTTATCTTTGCTAATGACAAGTTAAGTCATTATAAACTTTTCAAGAACAATATACATTGTACAGTATTTCATTATCCTTAACTATCTTGGTTAACAACACTGAATAACTGGCTATACAAATGAAAACTAAAGCAGGTCACATTTTCTTTGTTTTATTCATAGTTGATTAGATGGGTTACTTAGCATTTCTTAACTGGTTATTTAATGTATTCATGCAGATTATAAAGAATTGTTTATTACTTTGGCCTGTACACTGATGACTTACTAAACAATCAAACTAACAAACAATTGATAAAATTTTCCTTATTTTCAGGTATGAAGGCAAGAAACCAGAAAACAAAGTCACTCTGCCTGTCTACTTGAACTCTACACGTGCCCAGCTCTTGTTTACCCTTGATTTTGACACAGAAGGGCAAGGTTCTGGCAAGGATCATAGTTTCTATGAACGTGGTGTCGCTTTGGTCTCCTCAGATCTTGGCTAGACAAACCATTGGATATGACATTCTTAAAGTGAAATAAACTTTAACCAAAAGACAATAATTTTCCCCCCATTTGGTGTTGTGGTGTATCTTTGAAGTTTACTTTTTATGCTTTAATTAGATTTAAACTGTTTGGAGTTTCTGGATTTAGGTTGTTATTGATATATTTGGCTTTATTTCATTAATTAATATAAACATTGTAATTTGAACAGTTGAATGTAACAAAAATTGTGATTTGTGTCTTCGAAATTGAAATGATAAGAAAAGAATATTCTTCACAGCATTGAATGATTAGTTTTACATTCTGGCTTATGCTTAAAGTTGATGAAATTGAAGTAATTGCTTAAAATTTATTACCCCATATTCTCTAGATTTAGATTAAATTTTATCCCAGCTTAAAATGTGTTGTTATTTCTTCGGTATATCAGAGAATGGTTCTTAATTATATTTAAATCATAAAAGGAATATCAATTGTCTATTGTTTCAAGTTCAGGACTATAACACAGAGACTGAAGTCTTTCAGCCAAGATCAACTTATATTTCAAGATGACAAAAGTACAAAACATTCTATTACTATAATTAATATTATTTTATTTTTTACTTGTATTTTTTTGTCTGCTACAGAGTAGCCGCGACAGATGCGGATTAGGTCTCCGTCCTTTAAAACTGAAAAAGGACTTGAACTTCACTGGACTGATCGGTAGCTGAAGTACTGGTGCTTATTACAATAATTTGCCAGTTGAATGATTCTTTGCTGAGTTATGGCCTTGTTTATGCTACTACACAGTAACTGATACATGCTACAAAGTAGCCACAATTTATAAGGATCATTTCTTTGCTGTCATATTACTTGTAAGTATTAATCCTCAAAACTACTAGTGCAATTTCATTGATCAGTACCAAGTCTAGTTGTGCATATCGACAGCATTGTCCAGTTCCAAGATTTTTGTAAGAGTTATGGCCCTTTTTTTTGTTGTCTTAATGTTTTGTTTAGACTAAACTCGTACTACTAATGCTATTTAAGTGAAACTTTACAGGATTGATCGATACATCGCGCACTGAATGTGCATAATTAATGGGTTTTCCAGTTGAATGATTTTGGCCGAGTTATGACGCTTGAATAATTATTTTTGGCCTGTTAAAGAGTTTTTTTTTCTCCTGCTACAAAGTAGCTGTGACAAAGGGAACACACTGGTCAATCTCCCGTTAAGACTGCTTAATTGGCCATCTGGCGACACGGATAAATGATTGCTCTTGTTTCTGGTAAATCATAAACTCTTGTTTCTGATACGACGTAAGTCCAAACTAGTAGAATATGTTGTCTTGATGTCATTATTTTTGTTTTTGCTTTTACATTATTAACAGTTTGCTGGTACTCCAAAACAAGAAATGTATTTTTATTATAAAATCCCAGATAACATTTCGGGGAAAATAATGTTTTGTACTTGAACATTTTCAATCCATGACACATTCTTCAAACTTATAATTGCTGTCCACCGTGTCACAAATATGGTATCATTTGATGCACATCTCCTTCATAGTACAGTATAGATATATACATGTAGTATGTTACTATTTACTATTGGTTTAAACATATTTTATACGATATATTTACATTATGATGAACAATATGTACTGTCCTAGGATGATAACTTGAGCCTTTGTTTACATAACAAAGACCAATAACAATGCGAAAAATAGGTTAGGCAGATCAATGCCCCAACCTATAAAAATGAAATTAAAACTACATATTAACTTATGACTTGTTAGCGCGGTAGGTAGAGCAACCGTGACTGCAGTGTGTTTTACCCGTACAGGCAAAAGTTCGACTACTGGTAACATGGTACATTTGTTTGGTTAACTTCAGAACAGTCAATTGTTCAGAAAACAAATTTGACCAGTTTTTCATATAGATACATGAATATGACATCGAATATTTTATTACACTGCGATCAAAAAAATACAAAAAGAAAATAGAATGGAAATAAAAAAAATTATATATGTATATATATACTATAAAATATATATTATAAGAAGAAAACAAAAAGGAAAACGAAAAATAAATAAAGAACAATGATGAAAAAACAGAGTAAGAAGAAAAAACTGTGGTTATAAAATGACACTAAGTGGGATTCGAACCTATGAGTACAAAACACTAATAGTTACAATTACTCCGACCTACCGACAGAGCCATAACGGTAATACACAAACGATTCTGTAAGAATTATGCTATATAGTATATGTAAGTGTTTACTTTTACGATATCGGATAATAATCCAGATAACCCCGTTTTTCGACTTTCCCATGTACCGTTAAGACCAAATTATCATCTTAGGACAGTACATTATACATTTGGGATTGGACTGAAAGCTTAGGAGTGTTCTGTCCAAGATTGTGGTTGAGAGGTTGCTTTTAAGAGTGGAGATCTACTTATTTCTTTTATGTAGATCTGAGGACGACCTTTTATGTTTCGCCTTCTTTTTAATTTGGATTTCCCGAGAAAGCTATGTTTAGCCATGCAATCAAACCAGTTTTTGTCCCCCGCCTTTTCGAAAAAAAAGGGCGATATAGAAATAGTCTCCGTCCATCACACTTTGTGTCCGGTCCATAACTTTGTCAGTTATCAAAGGAATTTGAATTAACTTGGCACAAATGTTTGTTATGATAAGACGATGTGTCATGCGCAACAACCAGATCCCTACCTCCAGGTTCAAGGTCGCACTTGCTCATTCAAGGTCAACATTGTCTATTTGAGAGAATATGTCGTGTCAGGTTTGAAGGGATTTTGTAAATACTTGCCACAATTGTTCATAACAATGAGACGATGTGTCATGCGCAACAATTGGTCACCTACCTTCAAGGTCAAGGTCACACTTGGAGGTCAAAGATTAACATAGTTTGTTATAGGGTATATTTTGTGTCCGGTCCATAACTTTTTCATATATAAAAGGATTTTGAAAATACTTGGCACAAATAGACACTATAATAAGACGATGTGTCCTGCGCAACACCTGCATCCCTACCTCCAAGTTCAAGGTCACACTTAGAGGTCAAAAATTAACATAGTCTGTTATAGGGTATATATTGTGTCGATCTAGATCTTCTTCATAGTTCAAGGGACTTTAAAATAATTTGGCACAAATAGTCACAATAATAAGACAACATGTCTAATAAGACAATATGTCAAGTACAACACCTGCACCCCTACCTCCAAGGTCAAGGTCACACTTAGAGGTCAAATGTTAACAGAGTGTTATATGGTATATTTTGTGTCCCGTCCATAACTTCTCCATAGATCAAGGGATTTTGAAAATACTTGGCACAAATAGTAACAATGATAAGATTATATGTCATGCGTAACACCTGTGTCCCTACCTCCATGGTCAAGGTCACACTTAGAGGTCAAAGATTTACATAGTCTGTTATAGGGTATATTTTGTGTCCAGTTCATAACTGTTTCATAGATCAAGGGATTTTAAAAATACAATGCACAAATAATCACAATAATAAGGCGATATGTTAGGCGCGAAACATGGGTCCTATCTCCAAGGTCACATTTAAAGGTCAAAGATTAACATAGTCTGTTATAGGGTATATTTTGTGTCCGATCTAAAACTTCTTCATAGTTTAAGGGATTTTGAAGATACTTGGCACAAATAGTAACAATAATAAGACGATATGTCATGCATACCATTTGCACCCCAACCTCCATGGTCAAGGTCACACTTAGAGGTCAAAGCTTAACATTATAGATTTTTAAATTCCGTGTTTCATTTTATTTCTTTAATAAATTTATTGTTGCATTTGCAGATCTAGCATTGATCATAACTTTGGACTAAAAGTCCTGAGATCCATACCTCAATCTTTTGAAATATCACAATTTTATGCTTCATATAAAACTAACCCGAGGCGGGGGACGTCGGTAACTCGGTTACAAATTCTTGTTTCCTAGGCATTAGAAGAAGTATTACAATACCGTTTTCCATGGAAGTTAAACAAAATGTTGATTTTTGTTAGAAAAAAATGTTTGAAGTAATTTCTAACAAATTAACTTGAAATAATTGAGTCAATTTTTAATGGGCAAGATTTTTTTGTCAGTTTAACTGTCGGCTAAATCGACAACGCCATGTTTGTTCTTGAAATCGTGAAAATTACCTACTCAGTATTGGTTTTCCCAGGGTTAAAATTTCAAAGCAGTGAAAAGTCAACAGAAATGATTTCATATTTGGTCACGGTTAGATCTAGAAGCGGAGCGTTATCTAGAGCTGATTTTAATTAGATTTGGTGCAACCGTACATGCATATGTATAAATATCACTTGCTTCACTAGCATCGGTGACAAGGCATAAGGCTTTCAGTTAGTTTTAAGTTGAAGATGGTAGGTTAGAATGAAATGAATTTTTATGGGTTTTTTTTGTATGAATTTAATTATATTTTGCAAAACTTGATCATTATGTGTTATGTATGCGTATCACTATGTAAAGTCGTACATATTTAAATTAATGAAATGAAAAACAAGGTATTTATCAAAATAATTAAATAAAAAAAATGCTAAAAATGAGCATACGATTTATCAACACATGCTAAAAGAAAGAATGTAAAAAAAACAATTTATGAAAACTACAAAAAAGGTTTGTCCAAGGTACGAACTTTCTACTACGTGGTCAGAATTCCTTCTACTTACCACGAGGTTTATTGATTTAATACTAATGTTAAAATTCTAAGCGTAAATCATAATAAATAACGGAAACTAACGAGAAAAAAACGAACATTAATGAGTCTCGGGTCAATTTTGCCAAACTATAACTTACTTATCCCCGTGTATCAAAAATATATATGGCAGATATATAAGTTGCTCACAAATGAATGTTACCTACCATTTAATTCTTTTCTATGAACTTTCGAGATATTACTTTTAAGCATTGAATATTTGCGATTGTAGAGGGATATTCGTAATAATGGTTTGGCTGTGAAAGACTTCGATTATAAATGATAGAAAACAAACAAGTCGTGTCTAGGTGCAATTTGACCATAATATTAAGTGTAAAATATTCCAATCACATGCCTGATTATTGAAGTATAGCCGTTAGACTGCAGTACAGCATGAACGTTTGATTCAGGAAAAACATGACCAGGATCATGCAAACGGTTTTTTGCCTTGTCTGATTTAAATTCAAATATAATCGCATGAATAAATTTTATGATGTTATGGGGGCTTAATTCGTAATTTATATTCATCTGATAAATTGAAATAAAAACTATATTTTAATCGTTGACAGTTCAGGACATTTGTCTTCCCCAATTGACTTTTGTTATTTTACAACACGGAAATATCATATTATAAATAGCATTTTTGTTAATCGTTACAGACAGGTGATCAAGCAAGTGTCACAAAGGAATGC